GGAGCTTATAGAAAAATTTTATTTGTCGTTAAATTTGACTTTGTAAACCATAAATTCCTTAAATAATTTCACATATTTCACTGATTCTGCATTAATTTATAATGCTGCGCCTTCTACCCAGTGCTTATAAATTTCAGATTTGCTCGTACTTGGTGCCAGTCGAGTCGAATACAAATTTTGGTACGAGCGTGTAAGCACTGCTTCTATCCCATGCCCGTTTAGGGTTAATAGAATATTTTTTAGAGTTCACTAATTCGTTACTAAATATAGTCTTATTGACCTCGCAATTAAACTATAAACTCAATTAAATTTAATTTTTTTATAATTTAGTTGGCCACTGTGCCTCTATTCATTATAAAATGCAAATCTCCCATGTTTGTCTAAACGTGAGGTCCGAACATATTTTCGATTAAAGTATGTTGTCTTAAAATTTTTTTCAATTTAAAAAATCCATTTTCATTACTTATATTACTGCAATGCCGTAATATAAGTAATGAAAATGGATTTTTTAAATTGAAAAAAATTTTAAGACAACATACTTTAATCGAAAATAACTGCATGTGGAAAAGATTTTCAAAAGATTTATTGAATAATTCTTTTTTAACCATCTTCTTGCTCTCAATAATCCTCTTTTTTCTCATTCTTTCTGTTCTTTCCATTTAAATTTCTAGGAAATAATTTCTTAAAGTTATTCTTTAGCTTGAATCGTTTTTTTCGTTTTTTTAGTTTGAATTTCTCTCATGCCATCCCTTTCTTATATAAAGACAAATTCTTCAATGAATACATAAAAGCCGAGACTTTAAAAATTAAAATTCCTTAGGTTACATCCCTTGTTTGAAATAATTTATTAAATCTCTGAGGATGTCTAAAATGCTATCCTTTTGGTTTATACAAATCATTATTGATACTGGAGCTCGGTCGTACGGTATACCGTGTTTTTCGGTATTTATCGGTATTCCGTATCGATAATACGGCTCGGAATTCCGGTCTCTAGTGATGACTTCACTTTTTGGAAAAATGGAAAATTTTTACAACGATCAAGTACTCGAATTTCAAAACTTTTTCAATCTAATATTCGATCTCTAATGAAAAACAATCTGTATCGTATTCTTTTTAAGGTATAGCTTAATTTACTTTTTACATTATTTGGCATCTTCAACACATTTTTTCCTTTCCTCTTATCCCCATTTTTAAGCTTTCTCTGTTCTTGAATTATTTTGTTCTTTGGGATGAAGAAATTTAGTAATTTTATCTTGAATTTATATTTATATTTATCATTATTTATTTCACTAATTCATTCTCTTTTTTATTTAAAAAATTATAGGCAATTTAATTGTGTGGTTGAAGATTACACTTAAAAATATATACAATTTTTTTATCAAATTTTAATTTCAATGTGTAACAGAAAATAAAAGTAAAAAATTGAAAGGAAAAAAGAAAAAAACTAGATTGTCGATTAAATATTTTTTAAATAAAATGTTAAAAAATGTCCTCGATTGCTGTTTATTTAATGCAAGTTTACCCTTAGTGCTAATACTCTTTAAATTTTTTTAAAGCGATCAAAATTTACCGTTTTTGCTTCTCTTATCTGTAAGGGGAATATTTTTATTAATTTGTTTGTTTTTTACATTTAAAAATATTCTTTACTCTTAATAAAATTTTTAAATTAAGAGGAAAGTTTATAGTAAAGAATATTTTATGTACTTGAAATTTTTACAAATGAAACTTGAAACGTTTCAAATAAATATACACTTAAGCTTATTAATGTTTGAGACAAAGTTTTATTTTTTATTTCTTAAATAAACTTGAAGCAAAACTTGTTGTTAAGCGTAGCTATTTTAAAAGAGATCCGTTATGCTTCCGCAAGTTTTTTAAGCTAAAATTCTAGTATCATTTACTCGTAATTTTTTTCAGAATCATCGTATCATGTTGATTTTAGTCTTTCTTTAGCTTTTTCGAATGAGTTCTCATTATCATATTTTTGCTCCAAAATTAAGCTTACTTCCCCCTATGGTTTTTCAATATTTGTGACCTATATCTCGGTCTGCAGGCATTTCCGATCATATAAAGTGGTATCATTCAATTTTCACCGTCGAGGGGTATAGAAAACTGGCTATACTTTTTGTAACACAATGTAGCTTTAAAAATTTTAAATTTTTCTTCCTTGTTACAATATCTGTTCATTTGTCGTTGTAACGGACTTTGCATTTTTCCCCTTGCAGCTAAACAGATTTTTTTCTGTTTTTTTAAATTTTCACTAAAAGCATTTCTCTCCCTTTAATTATTTATTTTAAAAATATTTTTTCTATTTTTCTTTTTTATTTTTTTTTCATTTTTTACAATTTTTGTTTATCACGTCCATTCATAATTTTTTAACAATTATACAGCAAAAAATATTTTTTTTATTTTTATTTTTTAAACAAAAAAATGTTTATTCATCTTCTTAAAAATATATTTAATTTTTGAATGATTTGAATAAATTAATTATTTATTTTTGATTTTTATTTCATTAAAATTTTTCTTTTAAAAATTTCCTAATTTGATAAAAAAAATTTGAAAAAGTATCCTGAATTAAAAAAAATATTTTATTAAATATTTTAATTCTTCCTTATTTTTATTCCAAATTTTCTCTTTAATATTCAAATATTTTCAATTTTATGATCGCTATCCACAAAAATTTATTTAATCACTAAAATGTTAAAAACAAAGAAAAGGTTGATAAATATTGAAAATCCAAAATTCCACAAATAGAAACAATTAATTCTTCACTAAAGTAAAACTCCTTTGACTTGCAACAATCAATCATTCTGTTCCCTCAGTATAATTTTTAAAAATCCCTCTGAACATTTAAAACCTTGAAATTTTCCAAACATTTGTTTTTTTCCTCTAAACTTCCCTCTTTCTAGTCCTATGACACTTTTTTTGAGTGGGAGAGAACATTAAAATAAATAAAATATTTTAAATAATATTTTAAATATTAAGTAGAAAGAGTTATTATTTTATACGTTGAAGGCGACCTGTTGGCGTTGAATTGATTTTAGGAGGGGGAAGGGAAGGGAATTAGTTTGTTAAGTATTTATTTTATTTTTTCCTCTTCTCGTATCATTTTTACAATAAAATGATTGATTACAATTTTCTAATAAAAATTTTTTTTATTATTTCACAATTTTTTTGATTTGTTCCAACTTGTCACTTTACTACAAACAATTTTTTGGTCACGCGTTTAGAAAAAATTTTTTCTTTAAATTTTTTTTAAAATTTTTTACCGGTTCTAATTGGGTTCTTTTGCACTCAAAAAATGAAAAATTTAAAGAAAAAATTTTTTTTAGATTTTTATTTTGTGAGATAACGTAAATAATAATTTATTTATTTATTTAATGATAAGAATTATAAAAAAATAAAATTATTAAATTTTTTTTGATTTTGTTTGTGTACATATAAATTAATAAATTAATTTGACAAAAGAATTTAAAATATTTTAATTTAATTAATTTATTATTTTGGTAGAGATTTAATTTTTGCGCAATTCATAACATAAATGAAACCCTTATTTTCGGGCATATTTCAAGTTTTTATGAACGAGACGGTCTATTTAATTTTATTAAGAACAAATTGGTTTTTTAATAACGTTGTTAATAATGAAGTCCATCCTTTACAGGAGTGGACGGAATTGCGAATTGCGGCTACGAATTTTAAAATTAGAATTGTGGGTTATGGCTGCGACAAAAATTTTTTTAATAACGCCTACGCCTGATCCCACCATGATTTTCATTCTTAGAAAATCTGTTGGGTCCATGATTTTAAGATAATTTATTATTAATTTTTAAAATGTTATTTTTATTTATTTTAATATTTTGCCTTCTTTTTATTTAAACTGTTCCCCCAAAACATATTTTAAATGTTTCTTTGCTTTTTATCATTTTACTACATTTTTCCAAAACATTATTTAAATTTATTTCTCTTTATAATCTTTCTTTACTTCCCGTCCTTTAATCATTTATTATTTTAAACTTGATTTTTAGTAAATAAATAGTTTAATTTGTTAGAGTTTGTTTAATAATTTCCTCATTAAATTGAGAGAGTTCAATATAGAAATAAATTTAAGGCCGGGGACATAATATAATCTTTGATCTTCTAAGATAATATGTAAAAGGCGGAAGGTATAGAGAGTGTGCTGCTTATCAAGTTCTTTCGAATAATATAAAATTCACTCGGATTGGATCAAGAATAAGCAGGTTATAGTCGATCGAATCAGACTCACTCTCATTTGCCCCCCCCCCCCCACTTGACTAACTTTCACCTTTCCTGTTTTTTTATTTCTGACAGATTTTTTTTCATATTTTTTCATGAGCCCCAGTAATCATAAATAAAATTTAAATTCTTAGAAACTCCATTTTTTGTCTACTAATTTATTCAAAATTTTCAAAAAAAAATAACTCTCCTACTGATTTTTGACCTCCAAAAATTTTATTTTATTTATTTGAATTTTCTAATAAATTAAAAAATGAACAAAAAAATTCTTTTCTACAACAAACATTTGCGCGATTTGCGCATGACAAGTGATTGATTGTAAAATTTAAACAAAATTCCTCTTTAATAAAAATTCTTTTAAAATAAAATAAAAATTCTCTTTTTTTTCTACCAAATTTCAAAATTCATTTTATTTTCCGTTGATAATAATTTTAAATTTATATGTGTTTTCTTAAATTAATTTATTTTTGCAAAAATTAATTTATCTTAAGAAAAATTTTTCTTATTAAATTGCATCAGTTAATTTCATTATATTATTTTTTGATTTTTAATTTTTATTTACTGATTAATTGAAAACAATATCTTATGATTATTACTTAATTGTCTTTTTATAAATGAACAAAGACCGATTTTCCATTTTATTAAGCCCATAAAACTTAATATGTTAAACTTTCAAAGCCCTTGACCCTCTAAATACCTAAATTTATATACCCCATCTACGACAACCTAGTTTAACACAGGGATTATAATTTATGGAATTGGATAAAGTTCCGAACGCTCATGACTCTATTCTCTTCAAGTTCATCAAACGGTACCAAATTTTTTGGATCTTTATTACTTACAGTCGAACTGCTCTACATAGTCATTTAATTTATCTGATTGTTATCTCCATTTGTTCTCATGAATTTTCATTTACATATTTCTTTATACTCTCGTCTCCACATATTTTCTTACTCTCTAAAATCAGTGATTTATTAAAGTTTAAAAATAATAGAAAGTGTTTTTGCAACAAATAAACATTTAAAAATTTTTTTTCTAAAAGATCAAGTTTATTATTCCAATCTTTTTAAATATCCATTTGTTTATCCTCTATCATCTTCTCGAAAATTCTCATTAAAATATTTTTAATAAATATTTCATGTCTCTTTTTTTAATTATTTTTAAATCCCCTTTTTTATCCTTTTTTCGAATTAAAATAATTTTTACAAAAAAATAAAGTTATAGAAAAATTTCTGCACTAAACGTCCTTCACTTGTATTTTTTGCACTAGATGTCCTCTAAATTGTTAATTTATCTCTAAAAAATTTTTTTATCTTGCTATAATTTTGTTGACATTTTTTTTATTTTAATTTTTTAATTTTAAATTTTTTAATTTTAATTTTTTTAATTTTAATTTTTTAATTTTTAATTACCACCCAAAAATTACCAAAAAATATAAATAAATTAATTTTTCTATCAAATTTTGAGAGGACAAAGTTTGTTTCATCATTGTAATAATAACTGGCGTCAAAGACACGTATACCAAACTTCACCCCAAACATTCTTTTATTTACACCCACCCACTCCTTTATATTTTTCCCGATATTTTTCAATATTTTCTTTATTCATTTTTCCTCACTTTTGTTCAAAAAAATAAAAACAATTTAAACATGTGAACATTTAATCAAATAAATAAATTTATTTGTTTAGTTAAAGAAAATTTTTAAGTTTTTTAATTTTTAATATCAAAAAATATTCGCAACAAAAATATTTTTAATAAAATAAATAAATATTTTTATTAATATAATAAAATTGTTGAGAAATATAAATTTATTTTTGCAAAAATTTAAAGAATTTTTATTTAATTATTTTCCTTTATTTAAAAGAGGTTGTGAAAGATTTTTTAAATAATTCAATTTATTAATTACCGATTAAACTTTGATTTTTGAAAGGTTAGGCATATTACTTGTTATTTCTGAAGCTAAACTTGAAACTTGAAAAATCAGAGTCTAACTTAAACCTAGTGGGTAATAAGACATTAATGTTTTTACAATCTTAAATTTTCCGACTTTACAAACTTAAATTTATTATACCTAAAGTTTCCAACCTGAAATAAACTTTAAATTAATAATAACTCTAAGTTTTCAACTTAAAATAAAATTTGAAACTTATTTAAGTGACTAAACTTTTTCGAACTTGAAAATAAACTTAAAAAATATATTTAAATAAAAGGAAAATAAACTTGGAATATGTAAAACTTTGTTGAGCTTAAACTTAAGTTTTTCAAACCTACTTTAAAGTTTCCAACTTTACCAACACAAAAGTTTCCAACTTATTCATAAAACTTTGTTGTGATATTTTCCATTCTTTTCATTCTTTTTTTTATTTATTTTCACGTTTTATATTTTATTTGTTAAATTAATCATAAGAATTATCATTTTATTTAAGACTTAAAAAATACCTTACATCAGAAATATATTTTTTATTTTTTTCAGATTTTTATAACGAATAAAATAAATTTTATTATTTATTTACGAAGGCGCTATTTAATTTAAAGTGTTTCTTCATTTTAAATATTTAAATACAACATTTAAATATTTTTGTTAAATAATATACAACAGAAAAATGTCTGGACATAGCGCAGAGGAGGCACAACTTGCTTCTTGCCAGGTTGTTAAAATAAATTAATTAAAGCAGGTTACTGTAGAGTTGTAAATTAAGTTTAATCAGCTTGAAGAAAGTTTATAAGTTTGCAAACTCAAAATCAAGTTGTGTTTAATAAACTTGAAACTTAAAACATGATGTAAAATAAACTTTAAATTAATAGAGCAATTAAAAGTAAAATAAACTTGTAAACTTAAGTTTATAGTAAAACTTGAAAATAAATCAAGTTTTATTTTAAGTTCAAACTTGAAAAAATAAGTTTTTAAAAATAAACTTAGAAGTAAGCATTTATTAAACTTGAAACTTGATTTATATAAAACTTGAAACATTTTAAGAGTAAACTTGAAGCTATTAAAGTTTAAATTAAATTGTTTCAGGCTTATGTGCGTCAACACAATATTCAACAACTTGTTAAAGATGCCATAGTATCTTTATGCATCCATAAACCTGAAAATCCGGTGATTTTCTTGCGTGACCATTTTGATCAGTTGTCAACCGATCAACAAAACTTCTCCCAGGTTTTATTTTTTTTCTTCAAACTATTTTTTCATTTTTTTCTTAAAAATAATTATTTGTTCAGATTTTCAATATATATTTGCTTTTTATGAAAATTTTGACTAGTCATCTTTTTTTATTTTTCAATATTAAAATAATATTTTTGGGTCATAAGATTTTAAACTTTAAAAATATTTTTGTGGCAACACTCACTATTTATCGACAAATATGTAGTTTAAAAAAATTAGGATGTGACTATCTATTTTCAAGAAAGTTGACTGTTTTTTTTAAATTTTTCTTTTCCAATCGGCGTTATAGGAAGAACAGAATTTAATTATATGTAATTTCAACTAGTGTTCGACAAATGGATTTTTCCAATGCCAATACCAGTAGTACCGAAAAGGACTGGTATTGAATGAGTACAGAAAAGTCCAAAATTTCATTAGTACCGTACCCTCTTATAAATATTTACAAATCAATTTTTTTGTGTTATGTTACAGCCCCAAGGATATAAACTTTACTAACGAGTTCTAGTATAAAATTAAAATTACTAAAAGTTACTCATCAAATCTAGACAAATGAGGGAGGGTAAAAATCGTAAACAGCTTTGATAGTAAATATTTTTCATTAAAGATTTATTTATAAATTTTCTAGCTTTACCCCCTCTCTTTCTTCCTCTTATTGTCACCCAATGTTTAAAAAATATTTTTTTTTGATATTTCTCGAACTCGACGACAAAGTCTATTTTCTATGTACAATTTTATTATTTTCTCAACTGGCTCTCCTTTTTCCCGAAAAATCAATCATTTTGGCCCTTTTTAATGCTTTTTGGCTGAGCACTATAGTAGAATATATTTATTTTTATGTAAATACTTAAATATTATTATTCGTCCGATCTGTACCCATTTTGTTGTTTTCTTTTAAAAGTGATTTTTATTTTTTTTTTCATTTTTGAAATATTTTAAATTTTTTATGTTTTATATTTTATTGGAAGGAAATTTGACAAAAATTTGAAGAAAACCGAGAGATTCTTGTAATTTCCACTTACGGTTTCTTTTTTCCGGCTGGGCACATTCTGTCCCTGTATCATTCTCGTTCAGCTTTAATCAAATTTTAACTTTGAACTTTTAAACAAGAGGGAGTCTTGGAACATTATGAACAGTAAAATCGTATCTCAAATCGACTGCATCCATTATTTAAAATATCGCTAAGTTCACACTCTTTTGTTAAACTTTTAAATATGTACATACACCTTAAGTACCCTTCTATATTTACGTAAAATCGAGATCCGATTGAACAAAAATTTTGCAGAAATCTTTTGCGAGATCTCATTCATTTCCCAAAAATCCATTTTTTAATTTTCTTCTTCCCTCTAAATAAATTCATTTGTCCCATTCTTTTTTTTCTTCTTCAAAACATTCTTTTCGCCTTTCTAAAATTAATTTAATACTTCCCACACTTGTCTGACTCTAAAAGTGCATTAAAAGTTTAGCACGCTTATCCAGGATTTTCTTTTTTTATTATTTTATGCATCAAAATCGACCCATTTACAACTGAAAACAAGGAAAAGAAAATGGATTTTATAAAAATTAAAAATAAATGAGGTTGAGGAATTTGGGCGAAATATTGTAGGAAATGAAGAGAGACACCAGACACGTTAGAGAAAAGATTTTTATAATACCTCACTTTTGTGGATGTGTGTGAGTGCCTATTTGATTAATATAAATATTTTTACATGTTCACGCTACATTCGAGAACAACATTTGCACATTTTCCCGGCTGTCACCAATACTCCTGCCAGTCTTCTCTACTTTTCTCCACACACTTGTTGTCTCATTCTCTCTCATTTCTTGGCCGTGCTTTTCCTTCCGCTTTTCTTTTTTTCCTCACTTTATAGTTCATTCTTCTCTTTATACTAAACTTTATACAACATTCCTCAATAGCCAAAAATTCTTTTTTTTCCTTTTTTTTAAGCCAACTCATTCTCCATATCCAAAACTTATTCTCTCATCTCTTCACTAATATCCCTCTCAGTCTCTTCCCTTTCTCTTCTCTTTTTATACTCTTCTAGCTTCTTCCCACTATATTTCCCCATTTCTTTTGTCTTGGTCGAGAGCCTATATTTCCACATTCCTCCTCATTCCTTTGGCCACTGACACAAAAACCATCGGCTGTCGAACTTTTATAGCTCATTCCACCATCCTAGCACCAACCTCTACACTTCCCTCAGTTTTTTCATTTCCCTCATCTCTCATTTTATATAGAGCTCTTTTATCATTTAACACGGAAAGGGACGCTCCAGAGCGATATTTTGCGACATTGCGATTATTTTTGGATTGTTCTACTTTGAAAGGAATTCCTCTGGGACTTTCTCCCATAAATTTCTGAAAAATTTTTTCCTTTAATTAATAAAATCACTGTACCATTTATTTTATGGAACACAGATGGGAAAAGTTGCCAAAAAATAAAATTACAAATTTCCTTAAAAAATATATTTTCTCTTCTTTGTTTTATTTAAAAATTCGCGCCAAAATACCCCCCCCCCCCTCCTAGAGATGTCCAATACTCTTGGTCTTGAGTCTTTGATTACAAGACTTTTCTTGAGTTTTTTTCGGTCTTGGTCTTGATCTTGGGGTCTAATCTTGGTCTTGAGTCTTGGAAAATTTTCGGTTTTGGACATCTCTACTCCTTCCCTTCCCCCTCTTTCTCTTCTCAACTAAACATCCATTCCTGAAAAATACACAGCTTTTCATTCTCCATGAGAGGAAGGAAAAGAAGGAAAAAAATATTTTTTTATTTTTTTTATTCTCGGCCATAGCTTTTTCTTTAACTCCCGAGACAACATCCTCCTCTCCTTTCTTCGCTTTGCAATTAGGCAAAAAATATTGAGAAAAGAGCAGCTAGTTGGACAAATGAGGAGAAAGAAAAAAATGTTGTTAAATTTACCAATAATTATTCTCTTGACCTCTTTTTTGGATGCTTTTTATTTTTATATTTTCTTTTGCAAATGACATGTAGATAAAGAATGGAAGTTTTGTGTTAATTAATTTAAATTAATTGATTTAATATTCATTTTGATGGGGATATGAAGAATCTTAATCTCTCAAAAAAAATCATCCTAGTGAATTAATTTCAAAAAAGCCTCGGACTTCTTTTAATCCCAATGACTGCCCAAAAATCAGGACGATTTTATGATTCATCTTAGAAAATCTCATTCTTGTCCGTCCAAATTTCAGGTGTTTATTAGGAATGAAAAAAGAGTTAATTAATATCTATTAATTAAAGAGATTTACATACCTAAATTCTTTTCTAACTTAAAAATTCTCTACAAAGTCTATACTTTCTTGGGAATTCTCAACAGGAGAGAATTCCCCATTTTAATTAATTTGAATTGCTAAATTTATCATTTTAATTGAGATTGAAAAAGAATTTTCAACAATTTTTAATGATAAATTTTGTTAATTTTTAATTGTAAATGGATTTAGGTATTCTTTTTTAGTCCCTCATGGGGCTTAATCTATTATATAAATTCTCTCTATATTTTAACAAAAAACATTTCCTCATCAATCCATCAACCAATTTATATACTCAATAAATATATATTGTCATCAGAATTTTCTTTTTAACTTTTTTTTTCATTTTATTTTTAAACTTTTTTGTTTAAATATTTATTGAGCCAACAGGTTTACTCAATTTTATATTCTTTACCTCTTTCTGGTGTAAAACTCTAAATTTAATTTTCAGGACCTGTATTTCCTAGTCTATAAATCATTTATTTTTTTTCATAATATCCCACTTACTGTATTTCCTCTATTTGAACGACAGTCTCCAATAGAGCGGCCCCATGAGAAGGGATCGAAAAATAGAGCGGCAGTATTCCCCAAAAAAGCGGCACTTTGACAGGGGGTTGAAAAATAGAGCGAAATAAATTATCCCGACCTACCGTATATGCTCGAATAATTACCCTCTCTCAAATAATTGCCCCCTCTCAATTAATTACCCCATGTAGCGAGAGGTTGAAACAATAATTACCCAGGGTAATTATTCGAGCATATACGGTAAATTATATTTTTTTAAAATATTTTTATGGGTTTACTCATCAATTAATTTTTAGATTATTTAAAATATTAAAGAATAATTAAATATTTTCTTCGGTGCTAAATATTTTAATAAAACAATACTTCTACTTTAACAATAATAATTTATATGTTCCATTTGTTTAAAAGTTCATTAAAACATTAACAAACAACAATAATAAACTTGAAACAAACAAGTTTTATTAAAGTTTGTTTATTAAAAAATGAAACAATTTGATAAATCAAGTTTACAAACTTGAAAAGCTTAAATAAAGTTTTAAGAAGAAAGTTTTACAAATTGTAAAAAAAAGTTGGTCAAAAATAAATGCAACTTTTTTGCTTCAATAAAAATAACAACAAAAATTAGCAAACACTAAGTTTATTATTTTTTCTGAAGCAACCTTTATTTAACTGCCAAGTTTATTTATTTTCTTTTTGTTGCTTCAAAAATTTCAAATAAATTTTTCTGCTTCAACAAATCATGGGGCAAACACTTCGACGTTTAACTCGTCGTAATCAAAACCAGTCAATAACCTCCACAGCCTCAACCACCACAGCCCCAGAAATAAATCAAAAAAAGAAAAATGAAGAGGAGGGAGGTGTTGCTTCTAATGTTTCTGAAACAAAAACAGTCGAGAAACAATGCCCATCTTCTATACCTACAACCTCTAAAGAAGAAGTAAAACAAGAAGAATCAACGTCAAAATTGCCGGGAAGGAGTGTAATGTTTTATGAAAATTAAAAAAATTTTCTTTTAATATTTGTCAAGTGCTATCCTTTATTAGAATCTCGTAGTAGCGAATTCATTAAGGGCTGAAAAATCATACAGAAGTGCCCACTAAAGTGTAGGTACCACCTAGGCATCCCCTATAAGCCAACCAGCTTAATTGAATTAGAGTTTTTTTCAAAATTTTAATTCTCCTTAAAATTTGTTAGAATTTCTTGAAAAACTATTTTAATTCTCAACTTTTATCTCTTAAAAATTATTTTATTATTTTTCAATTTTTACCCGAAAAAAATATTTTTTAGAATTATTTTCTCACAAGTTCTCCATTTATAAAAATTCAAAAGTTGTTTAAATAAATAATAAAATTTAGAAATAAAAAAGTTGGGAATTAATTTGAATGTTAATAAAAAAGCTTTTACGTTTACGTATACATATTTAATAAAATTTAGTAAATTCCTCTAAAAGCTTTAAAAATCAATTTAACGGATTAATTTTTTATTTCATAATTTTTAATAATTTATCTAATTATTTTTCCTTTCTAAAATTATTTATATTAATTTTTTAACATTTTTATTTTTAAAATTTAAAACAAATCAAAATTTTCTCATAAAAAATTCCTAAATTGTTATTTTTTAATTCCAGATTTTTTGTAATTTCTAAAATTTTCTAACATTTTTAAGAAATATTTTTTATTTTTAATTTTCTTTTTTTTCTTTCACTCAAGAAGGCCTTATTGAATAAAAATAATGACTAAAATAAAAAAAATAAAAAAATCAATTATTTAATCATTAATTAAAAATCATTATTCTCTCATTTTTACAGGAAACAGTCCATTCAGTTCCCGACGAAGACGACACCCTGGAAGAACCTCCACGTCTCCCACAAGGCAATCGCCGCCGATTGGGCGTTTCTGCTGAAGTTCCAGATGAAAACGAAGCCGCGAATTACCAACGAGTAGTTATTCCTAAAGATGATGACACACAAAAAGCTTTGAGACAGGCAATGTGCCGAAATGTTTTGTTTGCACATTTGGATGTTGATGAACAGAAAGGTTATTCAAAAAAAAATTTTTTTGAAAATTATCTAGTTAAGGGTTTAAAATAATTCATTCAGTAGAAGGGAGATTTGGTAAATAAAACTTTATAGAAAAGATAATAATTTTTATCTATTGTTTGTTCTTCTCTAGCTTTTCGTTACTTTTAATCTCCTCAAACAATTTACACTTAAGAAGACGGCAAAACTAATTGTAAGAACAAACCGAAAAACTTTTCATGCCACTGGATTATAACCTCATAAAATTTCCCCAAATTTTTAGATATGTAGTTCTATTCTGTCCGTCTATTCGAAGATAAATTGCAGTAAATCTCAAAAATAAATCTGATTATTCACACTGCCTGTGTTAGATAAATATAATTATAATTTCCCATATTAAGCATATTATTAATAAGAAATACATACTAAGTAGTATAATGTAATTTTGTATATTAAGTAATTTTTGTGGAAAAAAGAATAAATGATTTTTACTCTCTTATTTTGTTACCTTATGTAACTAAAAGTTGGGGAAATTTAAAATAATCTTTTAAGTTATTCCGCCTTCCCTCATAAAAAATTTAAAAATATTTTTCTTTTTCAGCAATTTTTGATGCAATGTTTCCAGTAGAGAAGAAAAAGGGAGAAATTATAATTGAACAAGTAAAAATAAAAATTCAGAATTTATTTAAAAATCCAAAAAATAATTTAGGGTGAAGAAGGAGATAATTTTTATGTAATCGAAAGTGGAGAAGTTGATTGTTTCGTTAATGGGGAATTTGTTCTCTCAGTTAAGGAAGGGGGTTCTTTTGGTGAACTTGCCTTAATTTATGGAACTCCACGTGCTGCTACTGTTGTAGCTAAGGTTTTGTGATTTTTATATTTACACCCTCTTTGAGTGGTTTGCCAAGACAAGGGTTTCCGAGACAGATGAATACACGAGAGATGGAAATCAAACTTTAAATTTTAATTGTTGGAGGAAGGAGAATGAGAACCTCATTTACTCGTAAATTTTAAATTTACATTTTCTTCTTTTAAAGACCCCAACAGTCAAACTTTGGGCTATTGACCGACTCACCTATAGAGCTATTTTAATGGGATCTACAATGCGCAAAAGAAAAATGTATGATGAATTTTTGTCAAAAGTTTCAATTCTTGCCGATCTTGATAAGTGGGAACGTGCAAATGTTGCTGATGCTTTGGAACAATGCCAATTCGAACCTGGAACTAGAATTGTTGAACAAGGTGTGGTTTTTTAATGGATATTTATTTTAAATTATGGTTCTTGATATGGTAGTATAGAAACGGTGGGCTTAAACTTTACTAAAAATATGCGAAAAAATTGCTTAATATACAAAATTAAATATATTTTTTATTTAATTTAAATATTTTATTTTAACTTTAGGACGAAGATAAATAGGGTAATTTTTGGGCCCCGAGTTCTGAAGGACTCGCTTAATTATTTCAAATGAAATTGACCGATACATGAAGCTAAAATATTTATTTTCGGTTATATGTATGGCTATGAACCAGTACAAATTTTAGCCCCTTAATTTCCATTATATTTGTGCTGTCCTATTATTTATGAACAAATGCACTGATTGTATATTTTCATTTAATTTTTGATCAAGAGCCGTTCCCTTTGGACTGTCAAAAGCTTAATTTCCGAAATAGATTTTATACATATTTATCAATATAATTAAAGGTCAACCCGGAGATGAATTCTTTATAATTGTTGAGGGAGAAGCCGAGGTGCTACAACGGCCAAATGATGATGCCCCATATGAAGTTGTTGGCAAATTGGGTCCTTCTGATTATTTTGGTAAAAAATTGCCGACAATAAAAATTTTTATAAAAAATTTTTTAAGGCGAAATTGCTCTTTTATTGGATCATCCACGTGCAGCAACCGTTGTGGCTAAAGGGCCCCTTAAATGTGTAAAATTGGATAGAGCTCGATTCGGTTAGAGTTTTGTATTTTGGGGAAATGTTTTGTTAATTTTATTAAAATATTTTAATTTCTTACATTCTTTATTCAAAAATATTTTTTATCTCGAGATTAATTTCTAGCTTAATTTTCAACTTCAATTCCATTCCTTATAGTCCTTAGCACTTTTCGGTTTTAGGCAATACCCGAGTATTACCGAAAATACCTAACCGGATATTGAAAATATCCATCTGCTCAGAGACGGTAGCCTTTGAAATACACGATAACCTTTCAGACAATTTTTTTAAACAGACAGCGCTACCTACTATTTTTCCTTTATCATCCTATTAATATTTAAAAAAGATTTTTTTTGAAGATTTGAAAATATACAAGTTTCGATTTATTCTAATAAAAATCTAAAAAAATTAAATTATTTAAACTTTAAAATATTTTTAAGAGCGTGTTATGGGCCCGGTGCGTGAAATTCTCAAACGTGATGTTAGCCATTACAATTCATATGTGAAGGTGATTTTTAATTCTTTTTAAATTACAAAAATTTTTTTTAAGTTGATGACCTAAAAAAATTCAAAAAAATCTGAGAGAAAACACCCAAAAAAATGCTAAAATATTCTTGCTGTGGCAATTTTGAATGAATTTATATATAAATATTTTTTTATTATTTTTTAAATTAAGAAAATAGCTTGAATTTTAATAATTATATATCAAAAAATTTTAATATTTTTCACGTTGTTTGTGAGCTAATTTTGTGTGTAAAATGATTAAATTTCTAATTTTCTTTCTAAAAATATTTTTATATATAGCTAGGATAGTACGTACAAATAGTAGACTTTTTGGTTAAAAAAATTAAATTAAACATTAAAACTTCTAAAATTTTCGCCTCCGACGCAAAAAATGGAAGACGGCGGATATCCGTAGGCATTATGATATTATCCGTTCCCATATACGTATCCATGGGCAGGTCTGATGTATATGTAGTATATTAGGGATGAGCCCTGCCAAAAAACTGGATCCCATCCCTGTACATACATATCTCTCCAAATTCAGTTATTTTTTCGATGCTTTTTGGCAATTCAAAATTTTAGATGTTCCACAAGTTCTCGAAGGAAAGAAAATATTGGTTTATGAGTATTAAAAATATAAATTTGATCTTACTTTTTTAGAAAAAAAACTTTAGATTCCATAATATTTAGTCAATACATAATATTCAAGGTACAAAAAGGTAGAAAATTCTTAAATAAAATTAATTTTATTTTTCATTAATTGCAAAGTCATGAGCTTCGCTAATGTAAATTATATTTTTCAATACAATAAACAAAAAAATCAAAAAAAATTTGGCCAAACAAAAATTTTTTTTACTTAAACTTTGCATTTAAATACAAAAATAGAAAATAAACCCTCCAAACTTTACATTTACCTTAAAAATCCCCATTTATTTAAATATTAAATATTGGCGAAAACATGAAATTGGTGGAAAATTGTTTGTTGGGAATTATAGATCAGGGTACAAAAAGGTAGAAAAATGTAGAATAAAACGGAGTTAAAGTAATATAAATAGAGTTACGTTGACCAGAGTAATACATTATTTTAATTAAATATTCTTTTAATTCTTAATATTTATTTTAATTTAAAAATATTTTTAAAATTATTCATTTAATTAATAAAAAAATTTTTCCTTGATTACGAAAAAATTTAGAAATCCTTTTACATTTTCTTAGCATTTTCTACGGTTATCGAGTTCGATTCATTCACGAAGATAAAGTATTGAAAAATATTTATTAATCATGAGGAATTATTCCAAATTTATTATGTCTTATCTCACTTTGAGGTATACATCTTTCTGGGTTGAAAAAGTCGGACCTTATAATTAGAGTTGCCAGCCCGCTCGAAACGAAACTCGAAAGATCGAGCGAGCCGAGGCTTTTCAGCTCGAAAAGCTCGAAAACGAACCGAATCGAAAAATACTAACTCGAAAAATGCATCGAACGTTGGCTCGAACGAAAACGGCAACCCTACTTATAATAAAGTTTATCTTGATGAATGAATCGCCTCATTAAATCGTTCAGAAACGGGGGATGACTAACTAATAGTAGTAGTAGAGCTTTTCTAATTAAAAAAAAGATTTTTACCAAATAAAAAATTATTTGATATAAACCTAAATATTTTAAGAATTTTTGAAAAAGAATTAAGAAAAATGTTTGCTTCTTCAACCAAAATTTGTTTATTTTTTCTTTCAATTTTTATATTATTTCAATTAAACATTGGACAATGTCCTGTTGGCACTGTTGGATTTGGTGGTGCTTGTAAAGGAAAAGGACAAGGCAATTGTTGTGCCGGAAATTGTGAACATGGAAAATGTTGTCTTCCAATAGATCAAGCATGCAATGTTAACGATATAACAAGAAAATGCTGTGATGGTACAAGTTGTAAACCAGTATATAAATCAGGCTACGCATGTCAAGTTTAAAAAAGCTAATATGATGATTAAAAATAGATGATGATGAGAAACGTTTTCCTTCTTTTTCTTAATTTGCCTGTCACATTCTTTATTCTTTTCTAACTTTTTTACTATGTAATAATTCCTTTCTACTTTCACAATTAAACAAGTATGTTGAATAAAACAAGGGATATTTAAATAGTTAACAGGGGTGTGCCAGTTTCGCTTTTCGCGTTTTGCATTTCGCGGATTTTCGCGTTTTTTAAAACCCCTGATAGATAATTATAACGTTAAAGGATAAAAAATTGAAAAAAACTTTTAATAAACTAAATAAGCTAGCTTCGAAAAATTAACGCAAAACGCAGAAAAGCAAAATACAAGACGCAATAAATAGAGTTAGTTCTTGGATTAAATTTAAAAATAAATAAATTTCTTTAATTTTGCTGGAAGCTTCTGATTGAGTGCCGCTTAAATTTAATTTAGAAATAAAGCAAATAAATAAAGAATTTTAAACGTAATAAATAAATGTGTGTATTAGGGTTGCAGCCCGAAACCCGAAACTCGAAACCCGGTCTTTTTTTGTACCCGAAACCCGTACCCGAAGATTTTTTGTACCCGCGGCAACCCTGGTGTGTATTAAAGATGAAGTAGGGTCAAACATAAAAAATAATAAATTCTAAAGGATAATTATGATCACATTTTAATCTTGCTTCCATTGTCAATTAGAATTCCCAATTAGAGTGAAGTAGATTGGGGTGATAAAAGCCCTCTATTCGAGGATATATAAAAGCCCTCTATCCAGTAAATCCATTCATTCATCAGCAAATCCAATTGTTACAACGTTCTTTTCTTCTGAATAACCGACAACATCAATTTGGCTCGGATACTTATTAGCTGCTATAATCTCACTTCAACAACGCTTGGAATGGCTCTTGTTTTCTCCGTCTTTCGGTGCATTGTTCTTCTTTTGCTGCTTGGTTTTGGTGTTCATTGTGATGAAGTCGGACTCGGCAAGCATGTGTTGGATGACGGGAAAATTGTTGAGCTCAAGGACCTTACGAAGATTGCCAAAGACGACACGGATCTTGAACGATACAGGAAGCTGCCGGGAGCGTGTGATGTTACCATGGACGATGGAAATATGTAAATATTTTTACATTAATTTATTTAAATCCCCTCATTTAACAGCATTCTTTCGTACACCAAAAACTCCAAAACGACTGAGTCTGGCTGCTCTGTAGATTTGGTCACAAAGAATAAAGGTCAAGTCTTATTGGAATTTGTTATCTCGAATCCTGTCAGTCTGACCGAATGTATCATGAAAGGAGATGATCGAATTGAGAATTTGTATAAACAAATTCTTATTTGAAAAATTTATATTTTATTTAGGATATTGTTTTCCTTCAGCATGAAGCGAGATGAATTCGAAAAGCTCAAAGAGGGTCCTAGCTTGGGTGATAACAGCGATTGTAGCGATGAGAAGGCTTGCGAAGGTCGTTGCTGGAATTCGACAGCCTTCTACTTCGTTAGATGGGCGGTAGATAAAAATGATGAATATTATGCCGCTCTTCATCCAGGTCACCCAAATAAAAAAATTTTTTTGAATTTTTTATTATTTAGTTCTTGATACGCGTGGTGACGGTAGGGACATAGAATTTGATGGTATGGATAAAGCGTCGTCTAAGATTATGTTTCGACAGAACCAATTTCGGTTTCTAGGAGCAAAAAGTGAATCATTTCTTACTTTTTCCCCAAATTGCTACAAGATGGAAAAACTTGTAAAGGTTGAAGAATGGAAGATTGAGGACGAAAATTACAAAAACGACCAAAACTTCAATCATCTCTTTACTTTCAACATTATGCCACCAAAACCGATTCAAGCCCTTTTGTGTAAGAACAATCTAACAAAACCAGGCTGTGAAAAGGATTCACATATGCAAAAATGTGACAAAATATCCATCAAATTTGTAAGCAAATTGTTGCCTTTTAATTACCAAAAAATATTTTTTAGGACAAAGAATACTTTCGAATGCTTGTACCTGACGCTTCTTTTGGACAAACTGTAAGTTCAAAACAGGGCTGTGCGTCATGGCGTTTTGGCGTTAATTTTGGCCGATTTTTGGCGTTTTGTGTTTAGCGTGTTTTTAAAATTTGAAAAATTGGCGTTTGGTGCGCCAGCGAAAATTTTGGCGCACAGCCCTCATTCAAAATTATCTACTTTTGAACTTTAAAAATTCAAAAAATTTCAGACTACAACGACTACGGAGGAGGAAGAGACGACAGATTATGATGAGACCACAGAAGTTACGAGTAATTCAAAAACTACTGTCGTCGCTTCAGGACTGGGAACGATTGCTATTGTTTTAATCACTTTTGGCATTCTGTTATGGTAGTTAAAATTGTGGGAGTTGATAAAAGTTTAACATCTCTTTTCAGTGTTACAATAGTCATCGGCATTTTACTGTGGTTCTTTGTGTGCCGTGGCAAGAATAAAAAGGAAAACGAGCCAAATGAAGAAGAATACCCGCCTCAAACGACTACAACGACAACAACAACTAAAGCAAACTCGACTGTTGGAGGGAAGAAAGATTCTTCTACTGTTGTTGGAACTCAATACGATGAGGACTTGAATGAAGTTGGCACTGTTATGGGTACTCAAATCGGACCAGGCGACGTTTCTAAATTGGACGTTGATGGGTTTAGTGCAAAAGCTGGCAAAGTTCCGGATACTTTGCGGAGTACAAATACTGTTAAGGATGATCCAAATGTTGTCAATTCAAGAACTGGCGTTGCAGTTCCTGAAAGTATCTATGGATAGGAATAAAGATGTTAAAGAAGAATACATATAAAAATATATATAGATAATATTGTTTTTTTGATAAATATGTAAAATATTAAATTGTATTTCATTATATAAATTAATTTGTAAAGTCTGAATTTATTTTTTTTTCCACAATTCTAATTTGGCAAGAGCTCTCTCAAACATCAAGAATTTTGGTCCTACTTACGTTTTTTACCTTAAATCCTTTAATATTTTCCTGATTGTGGAATGCCTAATAGGTTACAATTTTTGAATTCTCAGATGGGCAAGAAGCCAGATTTTTGATATTAATGGAAAGAATATTTTTAAATTATTTTTGATAAAAAAATTAACGGCGAATATATAATTTAAAAATTAAAAACTATGTAGATGCACATAAAAATCACTTGACCCTAATCGAAAGAAGGGGAACTGCTATTTTGAGGGCTAATATATCAAAAATTCTATATCCCTATTAATCCTCCCAGTCTTTTGATATCTCCCTCAATCCAGTTGAAACACTTTATATTTTGTTATATCTACCAATATTAGAATTAAATGTAAACAATGTCTCGATTTTCGTACGATTTTTGTACCATAAAATCATCTTTACACACGTTTATACACGCTTTAAATTTCTATGCGTTTCTGCAAATTTAATAAAAAATATTTTTAACGATATGTATATCGTTAAATGTAGTTCAATGTAGAGTAGCACGAGGTCGAGGTTTTTTGAAAAAACCGAGACCGAGGATCACCGAGGCAGGAAAAGCCGAGATCGAGGTCGAGGTCCTAGCCCTATTTATTTTTAATCCTAGCCCTATTTATTGATAAGAAACTATAAAGAGAAATAAATTCAAATAATGTTTTGGGGGAATGTTGAAAAATGTTAAAAACCAAAATAACATTTAAAATATGTCTTGTAGCAATAGTTTAAATAAAACAGAAAATACATTAAAATAAATAAAAATTACATTTTAAAAATTAATAATAAATAATTTTAAATCTGAATCCAACAGGTAATAATTGTAATGATAATGGACGAATGTGCTGTTATGGTTTTAAATGTGTTAATTCCAAATGTAAAGAATGCTTAGTTGATGGTTCGGATTGTGTTTATGCACATAAATGTTGCTCAGGAGAGTGTGATGGCACAACACACAAATGCTATTCAGACTTCTGATAATGAAATTTTTCTTTTAATTTTATAACTGGAATTACTTTTGGAATTTATTTTCCCTTTAAATTCATCTACATCAAGCTTTATAATCACTTTTTACCTGGCAAAATTTTCTTTTGAACTAACTGAAAAAAGAATTTCCTTGGTTATTTAAAGAAATTTTTTTGTTTTTTCATCTAAACTGAGTTTAATTTTATGTATCGAAGCATATAATCATCATTACGATTGATAAATTGCCACTTTCGGCTTATTACTCTCTCAATTTATCAATTAATCACTCTCATTTAGTCTTTGGATTCGATACAGCTAAAATACAGCTAAAATACAGCTAAACTAAATTTATACTTTAAAACTAAAAATTTTAAATAATGAAGTAATGAAAATACTACATTAAAAAGAATTTGGAAAATAAAGCCCTTGAAGAACATATGTATAAACACCAAGAAGTCAAAATTGGTACTTATTTCCTCCGCCCCCAGTCCGCGATTTAGTTGAAGTACGAAATGATCAGTCATTTTTTCCTTGCATAATTTTAAAAAATTCGCTTGTGGTCACCTTCATTCACTCACTCTTTATTCCGTAATTGCACTTTTCCTTTGTAACGTTCTTTAAATAAAGAAAAAAATGACTGACCATTTCGTACTTCAACTAAATCTCAGACTGAGAGGGAGGGGGTTGGGGGGGGGGGAGGGGGAGGAGTGGAGTGGAGTGGAGTGGAGAGGGAAGGTAGGAAATAAGTACCGACAAAATAAATAAATCAAAATTTATCCCTTTTTTGTATTTTTATAAGGCCATTAACCCAGAACTACCTAGTCCTTTTTTAGCACCTTAAGCAAAAATTTTGGGAATTTCAGAAGGCCGAGTAAAAAATCATTTTTTATAAAAAATTCAAAATCGTTATTTTTTGATTTTATATTTTTCATTAAAAATCGAACGATTTCAAAGTTTCTGATACTGTTTAGATTCTGTATAGGGGATTTTTAGAACTTTTCTGGGGCAGGATTTCTAGGAAAAATTTCGCATATCGCAAATCAAAAAATACGTAATTGAGGGAAAATTTAGATAGGTATATTAGTAAACAAATAGCTCGAATATATTAGAAAATAAACTACTAAATTTAAATAAAAATAATCCAAAATTTTAAAATAAAAATTATGTTTAGAATAATAAAATAATAAAAAGGATTGTTTAAATTAGAGACCGGCAAAATCGAACTTCCGGGATCCCGAGGGATAAATCACTAAAAAATCCCAGAAAACTCAAAAAAAAATCCGGGATCGGGATCCCGGAAAATCCCGTCGGGATCCCGTTCCGCCCAGGTCTCTAGTTTAAATAAAACCTATGCAAAGTAAAAAATTTAGAAATTCAATTCTTTCAATTTTTAACGACTTTCTGCAATAAACGCAAAACTTTTCCATCACTTTTTTTTTTAAAAATACCCACGTTTGAAACCCGAAAATTTAAAAAAACACACAGAAACCCTTGTAAACCAAAAAAATTCAAAATCAAAAAATTCTCTAAAATATCAATTTCTCTTACGGATTACTTTCTTCAATAGTCAGTATTTCTATGATACCGTATTTCCTATATTAGAGCCCCATGGGGCTCTATTTTTCAACTATCCTCCAAGGTGGGGGTGTATTAAAGGGTGGGGCTCTAATTGAGGGTGGGGCTCTATTTTTCAACCCTCTTTTGAGATAAAATCCCATTTATTAACTATCCATTGCAACTAGAGATAAGCCGGAGGTTTGGTGTTGAACCGCAAAATATCGAAAGAGAATCGATTATTTTTCGATTTTTCAAGAAAAATAAAATAGTTCAATGAGAGCTAAATTAATTATTAACTATTGGTAGATTTGGACGGATTAAAGGAAATGTTAGGGGACTAGTATTTGACATCGATGGATCAGAGGTATAAAAGTGGATTTTAAGGGATATCTATTAGGGATCTCGCTTAAAATCACTGATTTTAAGCGAGATCCCTAATAGATCTCTAATAATCTCGCGAATTATCGTCAAGTGGATTAGATTTTGGAGATAATAGGAGTGATTATAAGAGGGAATATAGGCGATATTAGGTTATTTTGACGGATATCGGGATTATCTCCTCGTTTTCATCCCTATATCCCCATGATCCCTCCTCCTCCATGATCACGATATCATCGATATCCCCCTTTATTTCCTTAACTCTCTTAATACATCTAAAAAGTTATTGGGGTATTTTTTTCCTCTAATATTTTTTAGGTGGGGCTGTATTTGGGGTGGGGCTCTAATTGAGGGTGGGGCTCTATTTTTCAACTATCCTCCAAAGTGGGGCTGTATTAGAGGGTGGGGCTCTAACAGAGGGTGGGGCTCTAATATAGGAAATACGGTACTCAAGTTTAGTTTTTCCGACGGTGTTTATATCCAATGTAATTGTACCATGAGGAACAAAATCTTCGTTTTTGACGTTGAAATGACTCTAAAAATTAAAATTAAAAATATTTTCTAGTTTTCTTTCCAACCGCATACAAAACATCGTCCTTCCCAAAAAATATATTTTCACTCCAAACAACAATAAATTGAATATTTTCTATATTACCCTCAGTTTTAAATTGCTGTAATTTGCAATCATTTAAAGCCCCAATTTCTTGTGTTCCAACAAAATTTATTTTTCTTCCCGACTTTCCTACAATCTTATATTCGATGTAAAGACAGTACGATAATTCTTTAATATTTGTTACACCCGGAGTAACACAAATATTCATCTCGTGTTTAAATGATCCTAAAATTATAAATATATTTATAATTAAGTAAAAATAAGAAATTAAGTCACCAAGAGAGTTTAGCTACTACCTTGGGAAGTCAAATCGAGTTTTGAGTCTTGAGCAGTGTTTTAAGCTCGTACCAAAATTCGTACTCGTAGTTTGGTAAAAACCCGAGCAAAAAATAGTGGTGTTACGAAGTATTCTTAAAAGTTTCACAATTTATTGAATCAACAAATTTTGCATTGTTTCACTTGTCACGCATTCTAAGCCACATAAAATAACTTTTTTATGCTTTAGACAAGTGAAAACAATCCAAAAATAAGTGAAAAAAATCCGACCCTTATATAATTATTAGACTTTCCTTTACCAATTTCATTTTAATAATTAAAATGAAATTGATACATATGTAATTAAGATAAGTACCAGAATTTATTATGAAAATTAATAAATAAAAATCTTATCAAACCATTTGTTTTGCATGTATGTGGCTGAGTTTCTTCAAAATTATCAAATAATCTCCTCCTATTCATATAATCAAACGTCATATAAGTAATTTTCCCTTTACATTCTTTATTCCGAGCTTTACAACTCAAATTAAAAGTTTTTGTTCTTGATCGATTAGATGTGTATTTGAAACATTTGTAAATTCGTGTTTTGATATAATATACGTGGTCACTTGTTATAATTAAATAAAAAATTTCTAAGAAAATTAATATGTTTTAAAGGGGTTTCATGGTTCAAAGGGAATAATTTTTTTTCTTTTTTATCAATTAGAATCTAAAGTCTGATTGGTCTCATTGCAACCTTTAAGAGTGCATCGAAAAATAGAGCAGTATATCCCTCTGTAACAAAATTGACACAAAACCTGTAATTTCTTGAGAATTTAAAGAAAATCCTTTGTCAATGTCCTCCTCAGAATCCAATTGAATGTTAATAATCAGTCGTTGCATATTTGCTAGTTCCGCTTTTTGATATTTTATCGCATCATATTTTTTTTCCTCTAAATATGTTTTTTTTAAATATATATTTAAAAAATCTGTCCTAGAACATAATTAAATCCAGTGAGAATTTACTGTATATTTAAGTATTTCTGTGCCGCAAACGAAAATTTTGATAATTTTAAGGTTAAAATAAAAAGTCCATACATATACGTACTTAAAAATATATTTATGTATTTCAATTTCGTACGTGCGAACGTTGGGTTGTAAGTACTGTACTTCCTAAATAAGTATGAATCGGAGCCTTGTTTAATTAAAATACAGGATGTTCTGTATCAAAATAACTAAATTGTATAATAACAGAACTAATGCATGCGCCTTTTTCTAAACTGACCTTGCTCTCTTTGATTAATCATTTCTTGTGTTATCAAAAGGTATTTTTGATTCTCGTTTTCTATTTCAGTTGGATTGTTTTGTAAATTAGGCATTGAAGAAGATTCACCTTGACTTGGAATTGTTGGAAATTGTGTATAAGGATTGTGTGGGCGTTGATGATGTATTGGTTGTTGATGAAACGAGGTTTGAGGGTCTTGTTATGCATTTGTTGAGGAGGGTGTTGATGCGGGATTTGTTGAGAAGATTCACCTTGACTTGGAATTGTTGGAAATTGCGTATATTGTTGATGAAACGAGGTTTGAGGGTGATAGTCTTCGTTGTATATTTGTTGTAGGATTTGTTGAGGGGGATGTTGATAAGGTAAGTGTTGGTTATGTTCCCACAGATTAAAATTATCTAAACATTTTAGTTAAATTTTATTTTATTATTCATTAATTGCTTAAAAATATTTAGAATTTTTAAAAATTTAATTACCTAATCCATAGTTATGATAATTGCTTTCTATAATTAATCTTTTAAATATTTTTATAAAACTAAATTTAGAATTCGCGTGTTAACCGAAAATAAGAATTAAGTCAGTTAATACTAACTTGTTGTGACCTATAATTTTGAATAACAAACCGGAGGATTAAACCATTGTGGACTATTATTTGGGCTATAAATTGGTTGATCGTGAAAATCTCTAATATGACGATTAAAATCATCATCATCATTTCCACTTCCAAAAGATTTAGAAAATAACAAAAGAAAAGTTAGAGCATTTAAATAAATCATTTTAAAAATGAATATTTCTAGCTAAATTTATAAAATTTTTTGAGATACTGTAGTGAAAATTTACTTATAATTCTTATAACTACAAAAAAAAATAATTTAATTTTAATAAAAAATGATTCCAGAAAAACGCTTTTTCATTCAAACTACATTTTCCATTATTTGAATGTCGGCTTGAATTGTATCGGTTATAAACAACTGAGATATGTAGATTAAGTTTAGTCAAAAATTTAAATAATTATTTATTTTTATTAATTATTAAAATTACTGTAATAATTACTCTAAAATAAGGTAAATAATAAATATAAAGTGTTGAGGGGATACACTCTCATTTTTGACTTTGGGGGGGGGGGGGGGATACACTCTCATTTTTGACTTTAAAGGGGGGGGGGAATACACTCTCATTTTTGACTTTAAAGGGGGGGGGGGAATACACTCTCATTTTTGGCAATTAGACATATAGTACAAGGGCTTTACAGCCCTTTAAAATTTAATAAACATCCTATGATTGGTTTATTAATTATTAATTTTAAACGAGATGTATGTAAATCATAAGTAGTTAGTAATACCACTTTTTAGCGGGACAATTAATGACTTTTTTTGGCGCAACCAAAAGGTATAGGGGGGTTTTCCTTTTGATCCTAAGGGTTTAGGGGGTTTCCCTTTTGATCTCCCAAGGGTTTTGGAGGGGTCTAATTATGATTAATTACAGTATACCAGTTTCGTGCAATTTTTCAAAAAGAAGCCCAAGGGTTTAGGAGGGTTTCCCTTTTAAACCTGAAGGTTTAGGGGGTCTCCCAAACATTTATTGTTGATTTTTCTTTTCTTTTATTTTCTTTTCCTTTTACTACCACTAAACTAGGTCACCTTTTTATTGATTCACCAACATAGAAACTTATATTATTACTAACATTATTTTCTTTAAAAATTTTTTAAATTTATAAACTTAATTAAAAATTTTTTAGACCAAATATTGACCAACTTTTAAAAAACGAACTTTCAACATCTTTTTCAAATTTTACTAAAGAAGGAAAATTTTTTAAAAAGAGAAGAAACAAAACAAAGAAATTTAATTGAATTTAATATTGTTGAGAATTTAAGTGCTACAGAATTAATTATTTTTAAAAGGTTTTTTGTTTATTTTTTTGGTGATAGATTTTGAGGGTAACCAATGGAATTTCTGTTAATAGATATGTGGGTTAAGATATCGGTGTTTTTTTTTAAATTTATATACTTAATTAGATATTTTTTAAGGCCAAATATTGACCAATTTTATTTTTTTGGTGATAGATATTTTTACTTTTAAAAAACGAACTTTCAACATCTTTTTCAAATTTTACTAAAGAAGGAAATTTTTTAAGAAGAGAAGAAACAAAACACAGAAATTTAATCGAATTTAATTTTGTTGAGAATTTAAGTGCTACAGAATTAATTAATTTCGAAAGGTTTTTTTGTTTATTTTTTGGTGATAAATATTCGAGGGTACCCAATGGAAGTTCTGTTATTAGATCGGTGGTTTAAGATTTCAGTGGTTTAGGATATTTTCGACACTATCGATCACAGCTTTTTTATCATTAGATCAAGAATTTTGTTTTTTTCGTTTTTTAATGCTCTATCATTTTTGTACCAAGAATAAAAAGAGTAACCATCGCTTCATAAGTTATAGGTGCGGAACTGAACTGAACGTTTAGCTTTTAAACTCTTCCTTCTCAATTACAAACTATCTATAAAGGTGTTTATTTCTGATTTATTTCTACAACGATCCTTATCTTTTAACTGTTCGTTTTACTCCCCAATTTTAAGATCCACAACTGAAGATTGTGCTGCCTATTTTTAAAATTGTTGTATTTGAAAAATGTCTGGACGGGCAAATCGTTTAAATATAAAAAAAAGTAATTTCTAAAAATTTAAATTTTAAACACTAAATTTAAAGAAACTTCAAATGAAAATAATAATCAAAAAAAATATTTTTTACGAGAAAGAAAACCGACACCAATTAATACTATTAATACTTGTGTCTGTAAAGATCATAAAAAAACAAAATGCCCAGAAATTCTTCAAAAATTTTGTATAAAGAATAAAGCTGGGGTAAAATTTTAAAATTTCAATAAAATATGTAAAATTTTTAAATCATCCAAAATTCTCAAAAATTTTTTCAAAATTCAAAATTCTCAAAATTTTCACCAAATAAAATTTTAATAAAATTTTGTAAAAATTTAAAATTGTTAAAATTATTATTTTATATTTAATCATTTAAAATTATTGGGTACCAATCGGGGATGGGACGGGTAATCAAAAACCTTCTTGGTCTTCCAAAATTCTTAAAATTTTCGCGTGCCAAGAATAAAAATCTCTCTCTTTTGTAAAAGGTAGACAATAATTTACGGTCATAAAAATGTCATTAGACGCGCGCTCTTGCGATGCGTCGATTGACATTTTTAGGGTGACTGCATAAACGCTCGCTTTTTAGCGATGCGTCGCGCAGTCTCCTATTTTTTATTTAAGAATTGTTTACCTTTTATATAAAAACGAGTAGAATGATTGAAACCATCGGGGATGGGACGGGTAATCAAAAACCTTCTTCGTCTTCCAAAATTTTCAAAATTTTCTCTTGCCAAAAATAATGGAAATCCCTTCTGTTGAAAAAGGTAGACAATAATTTCCGGTCATAAAAATGTCATTAGACGCGCGCTCTTGCGATGCGTCGATTGACATTTTTAGGGGGACTGCATACACGCTCGCTTTTTAGCGATGCGTCGCGCAGTCTCCTATTTTTTTATTTAAGAATTGTTTACCTTTTATATAAAATCGTGTAGAATGATTGAAACCGTCGGGGACGGGATTTGGTTATTCGAAATCCATAATTTTCCCCGACCAAAAACTATTCAAAAAATTTTTTCAAAACTCAACCCTAATTTTTCCCATTTAATCCAACACTGAATCACTATTTTACAACCATAATCGAACCTGACCCGACTTTTTCTCAACCCGTTCCATCCCTCATACCAAAAATCTAAAGTATATGCTCTATTAATTACCCTCTCTCAAATAATTACCCCCGCTCTATTAATTACTCCCTCCAGCGAGAGATCGAAACAATAATTACCCGGGGTAATTATTAGAGCATATACCGTATGTTTTAAAATTTATTAAAGATTGACGTATTACCAGACGAGGTTAGAAATGGTCAGGCATATTGGACAATTAAAAAATACTTGATAAAGAATACGACGATTTAGGAAATCCTAGTCGTGTTTTAGTACAATGGCGCGGTTTTGAACCTTGCGAAGCTGAGTGGGAACCGGCTGGAGTGTTATGTGATTGTCCTGGTTTAATTTACCGTGAGGGTTACTATGATGGAGTGGTTGATACAATAGGACATATGGGGGGATTAGTTTATAATAAAAAGGTGGCTAAATTAATTAAAAATCTGGAAATGGCTAATCCTGGTGTAAACATCAAAAAAATTTTTCCAAAACTAACTCAAAAAAGAGACGAGGAAATGACACGTCAAGAAAAACAAAATCTAAGAAGAAAGCTCCAAAAAACAGTCAAAGCATTTGGAAAAAAGGGATTAAACATAAATGGTTTAATTTAAAAAATATTTTTTTGATTTTAAAAAATATATTTTTATGAATTTAAAAATTTAATTTTCGATTTTTAGAATCTATTTGTTTTTATTGTATAGGAGTCATTGATTCGAACCCGCTCAATGGAAATTTTTTAAGAAATTTTGACAAAGCGAATAATTTTTTCTTCATTTTCTATTTTAAAAACATTCTTGGTTTAGCGGTTAAAAATTTTTTCTCACTATATAAGGGTCCTGGGTTCAATCCGGTTAGAAAAATTTTTTTGAGAATAAAATATTTTTTATATTCTCAAAAATATATTTTTGATATAAAAAATATTTTTCAAAAAATTAAAAAAATATTTTTTTAGTTGAAGAAAAATCTGATGAAATTGATGATTGACAAAATTACAAAAATTAAAAAACCGAACATTACAAGAAAATGGAAAATCTCTTTCTGCTCATTAAAGGAAAAGGAAAATGTTTTTAAAAAGTGGCAAACTTTTGTTTTGTAAAAAAAGGAATTTTTTACCATATAACCTGTATTAATTGCCCTCCCTCAAATAAATACCCCGTCTCTATTAATTACACTCTCCACCGGAAGGTCGAAGCAATAATTACCCAGGGTTGTTATTAAAGGATATATGGTATTTTAATTTTTTAAATTGTAGAAAACTTGCAAGTCTGCCGGTTTAAAACTTTTTTTGAGTAACTTATCTAAAATTTTTCAAAAAATTTTACTTTATTGGGTTAAAAATCTAGGATTTAAAAATTTGTCGACATTTAAATCAAATATATTCTTATTAATTTTAATTATTTTTTCTGACAAAACTTGCAGACAATTTTTTGAAACATATTTTTTTGGCAACCAACACATTCAACTTAAAGATGAATGAGAAAATATTTAATAAATTTAAACTTGTTTAAATATTTTAAAATTTCCATTTTTTATTGTTGAATAAATTTGTGAAAATACTGTTTATTAAAATGTTAAAATTTTCTAAGACTTAAATACTTTGAGAAAAATTTAGAATTTTTTGAAATCCAAAAAATTAGTCAACCTTAAATTAATTTATTTTTTCAATTATTAAATATACAGTGTGAAAAACATTTCATTTAAGATGACAAAATAAAAATTGTTAGAAAATTTTTCAAAATATTTTTTATTCGTGAAAAATTTTAACTTATTTGAAAAAATTTTTAAAGAATTTAAATTAGTTTATTATTTTTCTAAATACAGAAACAGCTGCACAATTACGTAATTTTCCGCTATCTCTCCCATTTTCCTTTTCCTTCTTTTGCTTTCAAAATGTCAATGTCAAAAAGTATTAAATTAATTTAAAGAGACAGCAAATACGGGAAAAGGCTTCTTGTTTCATTTTTTATTTTTTAATGATTATTTTTCTGCAATCTGGAGAGGTTGCAAACAAATTCAATAATATTTTGGGTCGAAAATTTGGTAGATTAGATTCCGCATGTTATTGTCCGCTTAATATACTCATTCAGTTGAAAAATTTTAAATTTTTTCATTTTTTTGGTTAAATTTTATTTTTCTTTTATTCCTCGTCCTGACCGTTATTTGCCTTTGACCATTTTTTAAAGGAGAAGAAATGCGGGGATATAACGGAAAATTACTTACAATTAAAGAAGTAATTTGTTATTTCCAATGATTAAAAATTCATAAATTTAAAAAAAAAGATGGAATATGAAAATTAAAAAATTGTTTTAATTAGGATCGGTCTAAAAATGTAAAATTTTAAAAAATTCCACAAAAATAAGATCTGTATTTAAGTAAAACTCAAAACAGAATTTTAACCGAAAACTGAGGTACCGATTGTTCCAACCCTATTTATAACTTATAAAAGGACAAATAATAAATGTTATTTTTGAATTTAATTAAAATAGAAAGAACAAAGAAAGATGGTAATTAATTTAAAGAATACTAAAAAATATATACAAGTAAAATTTCATTATAAAATCCCCCCAAATTTCTATTATTGTAAACAGAAAAAAGGTGTAAATTTTTGACAATAAATACATTTTAAAAAGGCCTTACATTTACATTTTCCTTCCTTACATCTACATACTCCTATAACCCCTCGACACAATTTGAAGGCGCAACGATTACAATAAAATTGGTGCCCACATTGCCCATAAATTGTAGCTGGCCTATCACAACAAAGAAGACATAAGCCGTCCTCAGACAGTTCAAGATGTTCTGGCTCAATAAATAAGGGGCCAAGTCCGTTTAAGTTTAAGAAGCTGTAGGCTGCCCACCCATCTCGTGTAGGATACAGAATATTGTGTGGTGGTGTTGTAGTTGTTGCTGAAGTTGATGGCAGATTGAAAAAATCCTCTGCACTCAGAGAATCTTCAAATTGTTGTTGCTATAAATTAAAATTAGTTAAATATTCAATTTTTTAAATTTAAAATTAATAATAAATTTACCGCAAGTTGAGAAGCTGCAGTGCTGGTTCCAGGTTGATTATCTAGATCAAGATAATCTGCAGCTGGGTTCGGAGCCAAAAAGGAAGGACCTTCTAAAGTTAAAGTTTTTATCAAATAAAAATTTAAATTTCTACCCCAGACAACTTCAACTTCAGAGTTTTGTTGTTGTTGTTGTTGTTGGCGACGTTGTCGTTGAACCCGTTCTAATTCGTCAACATATCGGACAGGGTTTTGAATAACACGTATGTCCTCTAAAATACAATTATAATTATATAATTTGGAGTAAAATCTTACCTCTAACTGTTCTGTCCAGCTCTTGCTCCCGTATCTCGCGGATACGTCGATCTTCAAGACGATGGCGCTGAAATCGTCGAACAGATATGCATATATCACAGTTTCCACATTGATTACAATCTAGAAGTTAAAAAAATAAAATTTTGATTTACTTGCTTACCTATTTCTCCAAGTTCTCCGCGGATTCGAGCAATAACACTTGCAGGAATTGGTTCAATTTGTTGTTGCACATTTCTTTCCGTATTTCGTAATTCTTGTGAGTGTTGTAGGATTGGACGGTCTTCTCGTCTAACCCGTCGAAATTCACATTCAGCACATTCACGGCAATTATTACAATTAATTCGACGTCTTACTCCAGTTCTTGTTGTACGTGGAGTTTCAATTAACGGTTGTTGTAGTTGTTGTGGTTGTTGTGGTTGTTGTTGTGGTTGTTGTTGGGGTTGTTGTTGTGGCTGTTGTTGCGATTGTTGTTGGGGCTGTTGTTGTGGCTGTTGTTGCGGTTGTTGCTGCACCCCCTGTGTAACAGGGAGCATTCGTCGCCGAAATGCTCGGCCGCTGCCTAATCCATTTTCTAAAAAACCTTCAACAGACTCTAGACGAGCAAGTAATTGAAAAACTGTGAACATTAAATAACGATTTTGTTCTTCCAGAGAATTAATTCTTGTTGTATTGTTGTTTGGCATTATAGTATAGAAACCTTTAAACAATTAAATAAAAGTTCAACTTATAAAAAACAAAGGAAAATAAATAAAATTACAAAAATACATCAATTGAACAGAATTGAACTCAAAGATAAACAAAATATATGTAAAATTAAAATTCAAAAAAACTTTCAAGGTAAAAAATAGATCTTAAAGTCAATTAAGTTAAAAAATTTTAAAAATAAAATTTTGAAAAAACGAAAATTACTAAAATTAAAACAATAATACTAAATTTTAAAAGAATTAAATAAAATTTAAAATAAATTAAATAAAATCTAAAGAAAATTTTAATTTAAATTATCTAAATAAAAGTTACAAAAAAGTAATTTCAAAAATAAATCATTATAAAGCCTAATATGGATAAAATTTTTAACTAAAAAGTTAAATCAAATAAAAACAAAATTTAAATGCAAAACTTTGAATTAAAATTAACTATTCAAAAATCTAGGAAATATTTAAATAAACTTGAAAACGCCCATTTGAATAGATCTGCCTATAAAGATAACATTTAAAAATTCAAATAAACACCGAAGATGTATGTTTCCAAGATTAATGTTTAAGTACAAAGGCCGACGAGATTGAAAACTAACCAATTTTGCCTATTACCATAAAAAACGGTATTTTTTTACTAAATTTTAAACAAAAAAAGATTAATTGTTTTTTTTTTGAAAACCCTTTTTTGAACGCGCAGCTGGAAACATTGCGCTCTGGAAAAGGAACTGTTAAGTAAAATTATGAGAAATAAAAGAGGGAAGATAAATTAATTAAAAATTAAATTTAAAAAAATAAAGTCTCAAAACAATAATTAAAATATTTTTAAAAGTATTTATCTTTAAAATAATTATAATTAGTTTAAAAATTATTATAATTAGTTTTAAATTATCAAAATAAAAATTATTTTCTGTTTATCTTTCGAGTTGGTGCTAAAATATCAGTCGCATCGCAATTAGTCTTCACACAATTGTTACAAATTTCAAACTTCACTTCAACTCTTTCATTTGAACGATTTATTTTATTTGTTGAGTAAAACATTCTATCACGGCAGTCTAAAGTTAAATTTGAAAATTAAAATAAAAAAAGATTAAAACCTGGACATAAATAAAACGTGAATAGAAATTTCCCTCGAAATAATTTCCATAATGTTTCACGCGGCAAATTTGAGGATTTTTCAGTTGTATTTTCAATATCTTCCAAAATATTTGGTGGTGGTAAAGGTGGAAGAGGAATATTATTTAAATCATTTGAATTCATTTTATTGATTTTTATAAATCTTAAAATATTTTTATGAACCAGATGAATGAATATTTAAAGATTATTTCTGAGTTTATATAGGAGGAATTCTCAGGGGTATTTAAACTCAAAATTTTTGACTATTTATCTTGTCTCTATTCATTCCTAAAAATGAAACTTGTCAGTGATGAATGTGCAAATATTCTTTGCTGTAATGTCAAATCCTTACGAGATCTTCTTAATCATCCTGAAAACCGACTCATTATTTTAAAGACTTTATGTGGTCGCAAAGTTCGAACAACATATGAAGATAGAAACGGAGAAAAAAAATCATTTTTAATTGGAGGTATTACAAAAAAGGGAGCCAATTTTGTGCCAGCTTATGGAAGACTTTCAAAACCTTTTAATATTTCTGTCACAGCACATTTTTATGCAAGACATCGAATTCGACTCATAAATCCTTATCATCATTGTATTATAGAGAAATTTACGAATAAAAAGAAAAGTTTTAAAGAAAACCGTTATTATCCAATGGAGTTACTTGAATTAATTAATGAAGATGAAACAATTACAGACTTTTGTGGAAATTCGAAAAAATCTCAAGGTTCAGAAAGTCCTCTGGTTATAATGGAAGATGATGACTCAGATGAACAAACATATCCTCAATTATCACAACCAAAATTCACTTATGATAGTTATGAATGGTGATATATTTATTTATACATTTAAAATAAGCACAATTTAAAATAAATATGATAAAACATTAAAAGTTGAAACCAAAATTTAAAACACAATAATCAGATGGCCGGATTATCCCTTTCCCAACAAAAGGCTTATAAATCTTACGTCGAGCTTGAGTGGTAACATTTAAATTTTTAATAGATGGACAAAGAAAATTGGGGTAATAAATACTTAAGGGTTGTATTAAGCCTGTGGTAGCATATCTTAAAACTTGGTCCTTAAATGTTTGATATCTTAAACCTTGATTATTAATTACATCAATATTAAGTGTCATCCCTCTAACTTTTAAAATATATTCATGTTCAGTCGTGTTCTTTTTTAGAAGTTTGAGTCCATACTGTTTTGCTCCACCTGAGACATATTCAAGAATATCATGTTTAGGGTACTCATCAGTGAACTGCCCAAGATGTGGTCCAAGTGTTAAAGGGCACATATTCTCAGGATGAGCAAAGATCAATGAATCTGTGTCTAAATTTCAAATTTAATTTAAAAAATTAAAAGAACTTTAACCTGTATATAACAATGTACACCCTTCCGAGCGGACAACCTTTTGCATAGCTCTAAGAAGATGAATCCTTGCAGCCGATGTGGTCCATAAAGAAATTACTAAATTTTTATATAAGATTTACAACATAAAAATCAAATACATACCAACGTTCGAACATTCGTGTTCTTCAACCCAATCTTTATTCTTTGTATATGAAAGGAGCAAAATTTGTTGTGTTATGCTACGGTTACATAAAAAACGCGCGCGTCTTGCGGCAGAAAAGATAATGGGAAATGAGGAGAGTAAAAGACGCCGGCGTCTTGCCGCTTTTTTTGAGTGGTTACATAAACTGCGTCTTCCGCCGGCGTCAAGACGCCGGCGTCTTGACGCTTTTTTTGAGTGGTTACATAACCCGCGTCTTCCGCCGGCGTCTTGACGCCGAGCGTCTTGCCGCTTTTTTGAGTGGTTACATAAAATGCGTCTTCCGCCGGCGTCTTGACGCCGGCGTCTCTTTTTTTAATTCAAACATGTTTGAATTTTTTGCGGCAACTTTTAGCGTCTTGATCATTTCTTGGCCAATTCTAATCCGATTTTCAAAATTTAAAAAGATTCTGAAAATTCAGTTTATTCTCTATCGATCAATATAAATTTTATATTTTTAAACCGACTTTTTATAGGTTAAAATTAATTTTGAAAAAGGTATACTTTTTGCAAAAAAATATTCTTTTTTTTCGATATTTTTGAGATTCTCAGTATCATAACTTTTTTATCAATCGGTCAAAAATTCTGATTTTTTGATATGTTGTAGAGCTTTTGATTCTCTATCAAATGATACCAAAAACATGAAAAAGTGACCATTTCTTGATAAGTATGGCTCGTCCCATATAGTGTATGGCTCCCCCCCTTGAAATATCCGGATATCACTAAAATTCTAATTGAATGGCCGCCATTCTATTTTTCACAGGTTAAAAATTGTGATTAATTGAAACAAATATTCGACCTAATATTTTCAGAATCCGAAATTTTACCGAATTTTTTGTTAAAATTAGATATTTTGAATTTATTTAGTTATTTTGAATTTATATATTTCAAGAGAGATCAGAGAATTTATTATAGGTTCAAAAACCTATGTTTGTATATCTAGCCTTTGTTTGAACTAGAGCCGTCCAAGAAAACAAAACCGAAAAGCCACCAATCAAAGTTCAACAACCTCAAAGGAATGTTGGGATTTTCTCTAGAAAATACTCTTGACCTCGTTCCCGCTTGACCAACTTTATACCTCTTTCCATTGTAGCGCCGCAGGCGAAAATTTGAGAATTTTGGAAGACCACTGGGCAAGATTTCTTCCTTTTTTCCTAATTCTAGGATCCTAAAATAGTCCCAAATTTTTGACATTTTTTCTAAAATATATTGAAAATATCTCGTGTCTTGTGGCAAAATACGAGATACGAGACCTCTAAAAAACACGAGATTTCACGAGATACGAGAGGAGCGCCACCCCTGATCGGTACCATGGCAGAATAAAATGATTTGACTTTATAAATTTTATTTTAGTATGATAAATATTTAAAAAAATTTTTAATCGGATTTAGTGGTTACATAAAATCGCGCGCGTCTTGCGGAAGACGTTCGGCGTCAAGACGCCGGCGGAAGACGCTGTTTTGTGGTTACATAAAACTAGCGTTTTGACGCTTTGCGTCTTCCCGCTTAGCGGAAGACGCCGATTTTATGTAACCACGAAACAGCGTCTTCCGCCGGCGTCTTGACGCCGAGCGTCTTCCGCCGGCGTCTTGCGTTTTTTATGTAACCGTAGCATTAGTTCATCAATATAAGTTATTTCTATTGAAGGATCATACATATACTTGCAAAGTTCGGTAGGGTCATCTGTTATTGTGCATTGAGAGAGTCCAAAATTTCGCAATGAGAATCTCCCCCCTTTAAATTAAGGTGTAATTAAATAAAAGAATAAATTACAAAGATTGTTGAGCATAAGTTTGGCTTGGGTTCTTTTTCCTTTATTAGGAATCATTTTACTTCGTTCAATTTTTATTCCAAAATTATTATCACATTCATAAATAAATTGATCTTCAGCTTCCTTGTTGTTTCTAATGTTATCATCGAACCCAGAAGAATGTATTTTCTGCGCCATAAATTCGCTAATGTAAGGTTTAAAGAGTTCTGTATCATATTTTGTGTACTCCAATACACGGAACAATTTTGTAACAATATAACCTTCTTCTAGAGCCACATTAAGTTCAATTGATGTACAAGTACTGACCCAACCCCTTTGATTATCATTATGAGAGCAACGATAGTCTTCTACAACTCCCCCTTCAGGATACATTTTCCTTTAATATTAAAATTATTTAAATTATTTATTCAAATTTACTCACGCGCATGTTCTACAAAGAGGAAATAATAATCTTTCGTCCTTATCAAGTTTCATTGGTAGAACTGGAATATCAATGTTGTGTGGTGGAATAACAAATACTTTAAGAATGGCCAGTTCAAAAATGTTGTCACGGGGACTAGTCCAATTTACATTTTTATTAAAGATATGAACTTTAGGATGTCCTACAGGATACTTTGTTGTCATATTAATAAAGGGGTAAAGCGATGTTACATCATAGTAAGATATTTTTTCACCAGGTTTTGCTTTATGGAAAAGTTTTAAAGGACCAGTTCTTCCTCCATAAAAACAGCTTCTTATATTAATTGGCCCGTCGTCAATGTAGTTATCAAAATTTCTCTTCATTTCGTAATCACGTCTCAACATTTTCATAATCTGACATTCCCAATATACATCAACCCGTTCAATTTGACTCAAAATGAAATCCATTCTTAAAATTTTTACTAATTAAAATTTTCTTATTTAAATTATACCTCTTCTTATCATGTTCTCGTAAATATCCGGCAGTCTTCCCATTTGGCATAATTGTATTTTCATTTGGGAAACAAACAGGGCAACCATGCCAAACACACCCGTTTACTTCAATACCATATTGCTCTTCCTCTACCCATCCGTCTAGTTGATAGTTGCCAACACTTAAAATTAAAAATTTTCTATTTAAAATTTTATTAAAATTGAACCTCTTCTCTCCTTCTTCCGAATGAACAGTTCTAATTCTAACATTGAATTTTTTAGCGTACCAATTGAAAAATTTTAAGGCCAAAAGACTTTGATTTCCTTTCAGTGTATCATATCCTCTCTCAGGAACAAGTGCTAAATGATCTTCTTTAAGGTGGTTTGTACGGAAATGTCTCATGCATGCTGAAGCTATTGTCATTGAATCTCGAAGTACATCTATTCCATCGTGTGTTTTTGTTGAAGATGCTCTCTCACAGACTCCACGTTTTGTTACCTTATTAAATAAAGAATATAAAAAATTTTTAGCAAAAAATTACATCCATAAATTCTTTTCGAAAAGATATAAGGGCCGACATTAGAATTTCCACATCGTTAGTACAATATGATGCCAATGCTTCATCAAGGAAAAATGGTACATTTCTCTGTTGTTCATACCACTGGTCAAAATGTTTTCTCTTCTCCGGCATCATCCCCTGAGCAAGATAATCTTCTTTTGTTGGAAATATTGCTTTGCCATAATTCTCTGGTCTATTAGCCATGTGTGGAAAGAATGGTTTATCCTCAACTTCAAGATCAAAAGCAGAAACTAAAGAAGCCAGAGGCATAGGCATGATATTAAACGTATCTCGAAAGATTATGTTGTATTTGTTGATCTTCATCTTCATTTCAAACATTTTATTTCCTTTTTTCAACATTTCCGGTTTTATTCCATTCTTTACTATTTCTTTAAGTGTGATCACCATGTCAAATCGTCCACCAAAATGAGAAAAAACAATACTATCACAGTTTTGAGGAAGACCATTTAGTAGCCAATCAACAAATGCAGCAAGAGGTGATTCATTAACAATTTTCTTGTCCACATTAGTGTTGTTGAAAGGTTGTTGAGAAAATGTAATTGTTCTGTGTTGTCCACAAATATTGCAATTATTAGTTTGAAGACTTTGCTGCCATTTTCCATTTATAATACAGTCAGGACATGAAACTTTTGCTGAAACAAAATTTGGCTCATGAACAGTTGTTTGCTGCATTGTTTCTAAATCAAAAGCGATAATTCTGTAAGAATCACGTTCTTTGGGCTCTAGTGGTTTAATGAAACATCCTCGTTTCGGTTCATGAAAATCCCCGCATGTGTTGCAAAACTTTTCAGAACAAATATGTCCTTCACGACCATTTCTTGTATTTGCAGAAACATTCCAAATCACACCACAAACATTGCATTTTTTTGATCGATTGCAGAATCCAACTAACAGATGATGTCTATAACAATCGTTGTTGTGGAAATTCTTGTAGCATGAATTACAATATTTGAAAAAAGTGTTGCTAGATTTGCAAGGATAAGTTGGACCGACTCTTGAACAATTCTTACAACGAGCAATACATGTAATTGAATGAAGTTGGGCTCGAGTGTAGACCGATTCACAAGACAAACAATATAATTTTCCGAACAAATTACCACTCTTCTTTACAGCATAAAAATGATTGTTGTTGTGATAAATTTGAATTGGTGTGTCGTAGTCACTTGGTCCATATTTGAATTTTGGTTTATAATGTCCTTCTTCCCCAAAAACAAAAACCTTTACACGACATTGATTTACACAGATGATGTTATTCCAATGGTCAACTATCGTTGGAATCCATTCCTCTGCATCGTACTCATTTAAATTCATAGGTGCTCCAATAAGGTTAATTAGTTCATGGGTATCTTTTACAAAACGACCTGCCATTCCATAACGAGAGTTGATGTAATTAAAAAATTTCCAACCAGGCCAATTACAAATATTTTGAACAAATGCTGCAATTAAAGAGAAAAAAAGGCAGTGATTTTGATTGTCGGGATTTGCAAATTTAATAAGAGAAGCATGGTTTATTTGATGACGAATTTTTGCAGGTTTTCTTGCTGCACCTCCAACTATTCTTCTTTTTGGCAATCCTTTTCTATTAATTGTTGTTATTGTGATCTTAAATGGTGATCCCCAAAGCGTCGTCTCTTCTTGTTTTTTGCTTTGAGCAATGTGTTGGCATCTATTCAGCATTGCGTCAACTGTGTTATTTGTAATATCACTAAAATATTTATTATAAATATTTTTCATAAATTAGAAACCTGAATGGTACCCAAATATCATATTCCAAAAAATCACTGCTTAATGTACATGCTAGTTGGTCAGGTTCAACTCCTTTTTCCCGAGATCGTTCAATCGCATCATTTACACAATAGTTAAAAATTCCTGAAGTTTTAAATGCATTAAATAAAAGTTTTAAAAAAAACCTGAAAGTAAAGACTCTGGGTCGTTAGGAACATCTTTTATTAAAAACTTTGAGTACGTCTTGACAATGTTGAATTTAGCGTTGTGCCATAAAGAATTACTTAGTCGCTCCACATATCGATCAGAATTTTGATTCCCAGATCCTTGTTGATTAGCAAGGAGATAATCAATTGAAAATTGACGCGCACGTTTTGAAACAGGTTGCATCATTATCTAATAATTATTGAAAATGATTAAAATTGATAAAAAAATTTTATTTATATTATTTTTAAATTCGCCTTTATCAACTTTGTTTGTTTGTTGAGTAAACTTTTTATTACCACCTAAAATATTAAGAATAAAATAAGTTACACTTTAATCCAGATTTTATGCAAATCTTGAAAAATTCAAATATATACACACCCTCAAGTAATTAATCACATAATTTATGCAAATTTTATCTGTACTTTAAATCTTAAGAATTCAAATTTATACACACCCTCAAGTAATTAATCACAGAATTTATGCAAATTTTATCGAAAATTTAAATCTTAAGTTTCAGAGTAAGACACACCCTCAAGTAATTAATCATTTATGCAAATTTTATCTTTAAACCTTAAAAATTCAAATTAAGTCACACTCTCAAGTAATTAATCACAGAATTTATGCAAATTTTATCAAAAATTTAAATCTTAAGTTTAGAGTAAGACAAACCCTCAAGTAATTAATCACAGAATTTATGCAAATTTTATAAAAAAATTAAATCTTAAGTTTCAGAATAAGACAAACCCTAAAATAATTAAACAAATTTTATGCAAATTTTATCAAAAATTTAAATCATATAATTAGTAATTAATCACAGAATTTATGCAAATTTTATCTATACTTTAAATCTTAAAATTTCAAATTAGACACACCCTCAAATAATCAAGATTCTAATTTTTTCATTAAGATTTTTGTATTACGATTTTTCTAATTTTTTGTATTAATCTAAATTTTGTATTAAGATAACTAAAATATTTTTAAAAAACTTCAATAAAATGATTAAACAAACAAACAATCTCGTTGACAACGAAATTATCAAACTTGTAGAGGTTGATTTAACTTGAATATTTTTAATGAAACTAAAAATTTAGGGAGTATTTCCTTACAGAACTTTTAAAACGCGGGATTATGTTAATTATATGAACAATACTTTGAAAGAAGGGAAGATACTTGATAAAGGTGCTCGTCTTAGTATGCTTATTAATTACTTTAGAGGAGGAAAATGGTGTTACGACTGCATGTTATTTACTATGACTCGGGACCAGTGCGAGATATTGAATCCGAAAGATCAATTTTCTTTTATTTACACGTTTTTTCTTTGTCCAGATTGTGCAGAATTAACATTAACACACCTTGCTACATTTAATTAATTAATTTATTCACAATTTTTATAACAAATAAATCTGTATCTGGTTTTTTATCTAACATTTTTAGGTATTGAGTAAAATTTAGCCCTTGAGATATAAAATAGACAAAGGAAATACAATGATGGGCACAAGTTTTCGAGTCTGGATTTTGGTACGGTTTGAGATTCTTTACAATTTTAGAAAAATTTTTAACGAAAGAACTTATTATACAAATACTAGTGGGCAGGGATAGACTATCAAAATAGAACACCTCATTTCTTTTATTCACAAATAGAGAAATCCAATGTGAGCCCTCGTATCCAAAAGGATCCAAATTGATAATTAAAATTTTTCCTTTACACGTGTTAGGATTAGGTAATTGATTACACGGAAAACATCCTTGAAATATTTGTGATGTCTTCGGGTTTCCCCTGAGAATTTGTGTAATCTGACTTGCGTACATTGTTGTTGTTGTTAAAGTTGAATTTGAACCAAAGAACGGAACGAAGTTGATAAATAATCAAACTTGCTATAAGAAGAGCATATAATCCAATCATTCCCCAGCAGAACACATGACCATAAAAACTATTGTCCTTTGGACTTTCTTTGCAAAGCAAAGGTAAATTTTCAAAAGGTAAATTTAAAAAATTTGGAACTGGTGCCACAATTTTCTCTTTTGTAGGTAATAAAGGGTCTCCTGTAATATTTTCACCTCTGTAATATTTAACAAGTTCAGAATATTCAGGTAAATTATCTAATTTTATAGTACCATCTGTTGATAATCCTTCAATAATATGAGTAAAAATTTTTATTAAAAAGATTTTTGATGAAAAGTTCATGTTTAAATAATGATTTGAAATTATGTTTTTCTTTTGTTTATATAGTTGTATCACTCGCGATTGTTCTGTTTTTATCTAACATTATGAGAGAATCTGCTTCTCCCATTACTATTAGCATGATTCCACCCTCAGGGACAGGCTGGCTGAACTTTATATTTACAGCTGTCGTCCCATTTTTGATTAAATCGAAAGCCCCTCCATGGTCTTCACCACTATTAGTCAAATTAAAAACATATATACAGTGAGTTTTGCCGAATTGTTGATAAGTTATTCCATTACTTTCAGTCGAATTTGATAGCCCTATTGCCTCATTCATATCATTAAATGCTCGAACATATTTCCCATTTTCATAATCAAAGTCATATGGAGCCTGAGGATAATTTCTGCCATTAGCAATAATACTAATCTCACGGACATTAAAGTGTTGGAAATTAAAAGGACTTCTAGTAATGTTGCCGACATAATCTGAATTTGAAACAAGTCCCAACGTAATACGTCTGGGTATTTGATCCATGAATAAATTTGCGTTAAATTCATATCGACCTTGGCTAATAAAAAGAGGCTTCATTAAAGTTTTTCTTATAGAATAACGGGCAGGTTTTGTTTCGAGTCTCCTAGCAATATCTAGAGCAAGCCCATCCATTAAGTCGACCTTCTTAACATAAAGTTTCATATTTGTTACTTCAAAATGATAACGTGTTGCTACTTCCATAGCATTTTGTAGTCCAAATGTCATAAGAACAAATCGGGAATCGTTTGGTAATATTTCAATGTCTATCTCACAGTGATTTATTAAATATAAGGGTTGATTAAAAAGATCTGCATCAAGCTTTGCAATAAATTGCGCAGTTTTACTTTTTTCAAATAATCTTCTCCTTTCGATAGTATCTAAACCGCCTTCTTGAGTTGTAGTATTATTGTAATAATAACCTGCTGAATTTAGGTGGGAACTCTTTGCATTTTGTGAATAAGATAATTCATGAGAAAAATATGTTTTGTAGGCATAAAGGGAATTTGCATTAAAAACTTCTCGACCATTGATACTTATACGCATATTATTAATAAAAGTTTGCCCTATGAGTTGTATTGTAGAAACATTGTCTGCGACGCTAAGATTTACAAGTTGCCCACTTTCATTTTCTTTTCGAATTCGAAATTCAGTAAATAAATAACATTTTGATAAATCTATATAGTTTTGACTAGAGTGGATTTTGAAATGATAAGGTGTATCTGTGAGAGGATTGCTTGTAAGAATCTCAAAAACTTTTGATGACGAAATGCTCACGTTCGTAGGAGGAATTTGAAAAAAATCCAAAGCATTTGTTATTGAGTTTATACTATCGTTATCAATTTTATGGAATGTCATATTTTAATAAAATCCAAAGACGTCTGATCTCAATTTCTTCTTGATTGGTTTACCTATAATTTTTTGGTAACTGGGTAATTTTTGCCTTTTTATAGTCTTTTTTCTCGAAAACCCGGATCCAAACTGTTTTGGAAGACCTCCTTTATCAAGCACAGCATCTATCCCTTTCTTTCCTTCACTGATAAAAGCCTCTTTGATTGGTTCTCCTTGACTAACTCTGTCAATAACACGTTGTCCTGTATTAAGTGCTTCAGCTCTAACTGTGTTTCCTACACGACGTATTACAGGAAGAAAGAAACGCCAAAGACCACGCATGACATCACCGACTCCAGCTCCTTTCTGAATCCCATAGCCTCGCTGAAACGGGGATGAACCTCGAAAATAATTATCGGAATATTCTCCTGTACCGGACATATCATTTAAATTATTTTGTAAAAAATCGTCATACCCAACAGTACTAGTATCAAACACAACATGAACCATTTTTGAAAAATTTTTATTTGAAAAGTAATAAAAAATTACTATTTATATACACTGGACAGAACATCAAAAATTTATAACTTTTTTAAAAATTAAGACAATGAGTACTGTACCAAAAGAAAATGGTACTAGTCTACCATTATCCATCGTTCTTATTTCAATCTCAATTTCGTTAACTTCCTTTGGTAAAACACGAGCATATATTGGTGAATCATAAATATTTTCATTATATTCTCCAGGTTTTGCACCTGCCACAGAGACTACGCGTAGAAGTGAACTTAGACTATTACCAATTATCATATTTTCTGTTAGTCCTTTTGTATAAACCGCAAAACTAGAAAAACCACCCCTTAAGTCACATCCATACTTTGCAATTTCTCTGTTTTGGACCATATTTGTATTTTCAAACCCCAAAACATATCCAAGTTGAGGCGAAAATGATAGATATTTAATGCTTGTATGAGTAAATTGTACCTTAAAACGTTCAAAATCCTTGTGATATAATATTTCTATCGAATCAATTATTTGTTTTTGGACTGAAGCATCAACTTTATCCTTCTTTAATCGTCCATACTGTCGTAAAAGAGCGGGCATGTTCGGTAAATAATTTATTCGGGCTTGGCGTGTGGGTGTTCTCCCTAGTATTTTTGTTAATATCTGTTCCATTTCTTCTGTCCATAATGGATCACTGAATGTTTCTTCAGGAGTTGGAAGAACAGGAAGATTCGAAAGATCCTCAGTAGCTGGTTCAGGTCGTGAAGGTTGAGCAGGAGTTGTTGTTTCAGGGATCGGTGAAGGTTTTGAAATATCTGTAGGTTTAGGAGGCTCAATTATAACAGGTGGAAGAGGGGGTTGTTCTCCTTTTTGTTGATCTTGTGAAACAGGTTTTGTTGGAGAGGTATAGCTTGGTAGAGGATTTAAAGATGAAGTTTGTTGAGTTGGGGGAGGGGTTGATGGCGTTGTTGGAGGGTGTATGTCTGTGTACGTTGGTAGAGGTGGGGGCCTGTAAGGTTCATTTGCTGTCTCTTTGTCTCTAGCAATTCCTTCAAACTCAAGTGCCCTAAATCTATCCATTCTATAATTGACAAGTCTTTTAAGTCCTTCAATTTTAGTATTTAATTCCTTCTTTCGATCTTCATCTGTTTCCTCATCATACAAAGTTTTTGTATTAGAAATTTCCTGATATGTAGCGATCAACCCGTAAAAATTACTTCGTATTGCTGGCCAATAATCAGGGTTATCGCTGAAAAATTTATCAACATATCCTTTATGGGTTATATAGTTCTCTCTATTATATTGTTTAACAGTTTTTTGTTTGTCTCTTCTTAGTACAGCAGCATCAAGTAAATTTACTCTCTTTGTCATTCTTTCAATTTCTTTCTTAAATCTTGGTAAAAATCCTTCTAATTGTAAGGGTGTTTCCCTTTTATCTTCTATGAAGAGAGCTATTAGTTTGAGATGGTCTATAATTAATATTTCATTGTAATTTTCGGGGTAGGTTTCGAAAAAATCTACAACAATGCTGACATCTGAATTGTTATTTTCAAAATCCCTTCTTTTTGCTTCATCTTCCAATTTTCTAATTCGAGATTCTAAGGCACTCCTTTTGTAACTAAGGTTCCAAAATGTTGTTGTCATTTCACTTTTAATAGTCTCATCTTTTTGTTGATCTGTTCTTAATTTAAATTCATCTAAAGATTTTGAATCCTCTACAAGTTTATCTTTTAAAATTTTTATTTGGTCCCAATATTGATCAGGATAATCTATGAACACTTCATCAACTTTAGGAATGATCCCCACTCTTATTTGCCTTAACTCTTCTAATGAACGTTTATTTCTTGGGCGTTTAAGTGAGGGCAGATCAACTAAATCTTCAGGTTTTTCCAAAGGCGAAGCTCCATAAGTTTCGCTTTGATGTTGAAGTGTGGAAATTAAAAATTCATGTAATTTCTCTACTGAAGTATGAGAAGCTTTTGGAACTGGAACTCGTAAGACTCTGCCCATTCCAAGATTATCTTTGAAATGTATATCAATCCATTGATCATCTAGTGTACCAATAGTTGCTGCCCATGAATATGGATAATTTATACTATGTAATCCACAAACCCAATTACCAGAAAAATAGAGAGGCTTCGGTAAATGAACACGAAATTTATTTGGACGATTATCTGGATAATCGGGAATATTACTAGGTAGGAAGACAAAAAAACTGTTTGACATAATTTTATCACAAAAAATTTTACAATAATGAAAAAATTGTTTCTTTTATACTAGTTGAGACTCGTGAATCCATTCTCGTTCTGGGTATCCTATAAATTTAACTAAGACATCAAAGGTTCCGTCTGGTCTTTTTCTTTTTCTCACAACTTTTTCAATTCTATATTCTGTATCTGCATTTTTTCTTACACGAGTTAACTCTTCATTGTAAAATGAACCTTTGAATTTTTCGCCTTTATCATCCTTCACTTTGTATTGAATAGGTAAAGGTGTTTCTTTTATTTTATCCACTTGTAATATTTCATCTCCCCAATTTGGTATGTATCCTTTTTCAAAAACACCTTTATTTACACTCATTCTTACAAAATCATCCTTTTTAAGTTTTGGTTTTGTTTTATTATTTTTTGAAGAAAATATTTTTCCATAAATTCGTTTCCATACTTTTTGAGCGTTATCAAAATTGACATCTATAGGTCGCATTCCATGTATTCTACTTTTTGCTTTATTTATTCCCTCTAGAATTTTTTCTATGACATCAATCCAGTTTAATGTTTTCTTTTGAGCAAAATTTCGGTATAGTCGTTGTTTAACATTACGAATTGCTCTTTCAGCAACTGATGCTTTGACTATAGAATGTGTTGGCTCATGTTTTTCTATCCCCTCTTTTTCAAAAAATTCTTTAATTTGTTTATTTTTAAATTCAGTTCCTTTATCAGAAAAAATTCTTTGTGGTTTCATAGGCATCTGTGAAATTCTTCTGTCTTTTTAGATTTTACTGGAACGCCAAACACTCGTTTAGATAGAACATCAATACCTAGAAGCAAATAACGATTTCCTTTATTATGTCTGGATAACTGTTGAAAATCAGCCAAATCAACTTGAACATCTGTCATAAATCCAGCAGCTACAGTTCTTGATCTTTTAAAATGAATACGTTTAGGGCGCATAAGTGTATATGTTCTATGTCCTTCTAAATAATGTTGTACGACCTTTTTTGGTATATGTTTGAGAACCTTACGTGCTTCATGCCAAAGTCGGTCAATTCCAGAAAAAGCTGCAGGTGATTCGGGATTATTATATAAATCATCAAGGAGTTTAGTATAATCCGCCATTTTTTACCAAAGAGATGGCTTAAAACTGTTGATATCCTTTTGTGTCGGTTTTCTTATTGCCCATTTACTTTTTGATTTATAAACATTTCTTTTCTTCAGATTTTTAACCCATAAATTTGAAGCTCTTTTTGATTGTTTTTTAGTAACTTTTCTTTGTCTTTTCATAACAGTCATCTCATTTTCAATAGGCCCCTCAAATTTCCTTTTTACTTTCTGACGACTAATTGGTGGAGAGGGGGATCTTCCTTCTCTCATGATTTTTCTTTTGCTTTTTGATTTTTCATTTTCTTTATCACGAAGTCGTCTAATTTCATATGGATCTAATGGAACTTTGGTTTTTTGACTAGTTTTTCGTCTTTCAGATAAAATTTTTCTTTTATCGGCTAAGTGTTTTAATTTAACAGCTTTTTGTTTCAATAAATATGTTTCCTGTTTGAGCTCCTCGTCTCGATTTTTATCTGTTCTCTTCTTTCTCTTTACTCCTTCAAACTCGTTATTTTCTTGTTCTCGTTTTGTAACCTTGCGATAAATGGGTGGACTTGGACTTGCTGGAGTTTTAATATAGTTTGTTTCTATATTTTCAGAATGCCCTTGGGGAATTTGTCTTTTTTTATTTTTAGAAACGGTTTTAACCTTTTTGATATGTTTTTTCACTTTATATTTCTTCAAGTCGGATTTATTTTCTCTTTTAACTATAGGTTGTTGTAAAGGAGGAATAGGTGGCGATTCATCTCCTATATTTTTTAAATGTTTTTTAGCAGAATAAGTTGATGACAACGACGGTGGTGGAGGTAAATTCGGTGCATTAAAAGTTGATATAGATTTTATATCCTTAGGGGGTATAGGGTATGAGGGAAGAGAAATGTCATCAGTTGTTAATAGATCGTCATCATCCTCTGTTAAATTAGACGAGGGACGTGTTGCATTAGTGCTCATAATTGCTCCTTTAGGATTAGCTACCATTTCAACTTTGACTGGTTTATTTTGTTGTTCGTTTCTAATGTGCAGATATCTTCTTAATTCTTGATTATATTTTACATTCTTAGCAGAGGGATTATCCTTTTTCCTCTTAATTTTCTCGATATCACTTCTAATAAAATCGAGGTTGGGGTCTCCTGCATCATATGTTGTCAGTCCTCTGTAAATATCTTCAGGAACTAGAATAAATTTGTTTGCCATAATTTTGTTAATTTTTGTTTTATTTATTGCTTTTTATAGAGCTTCCCAGAAATCTTGCCAGTTCTATAAGGACTGGTGTAATGAGCGCAGCAAAAGTTCCAATACCTCCACCTTTTTGGTCTAGAGTTTTTCGTGCACCTTTTTCACTCTTAATACGACTCATCTTTCTGACAAAGTCTGCATACGGCAATAAACGTTTCTTTTGACATTTTGTAAGATTAATACGAGCTTTTACTATATTTAAACAAATTTCTACCAAAGCCAATAATTGATTTGTTGTTGAAAGTCTTAAAAGACGATTTATCTTTCTCTGTGATTTTGTGCGAGATAATATACGTAAAAATTTTGAGTTCTCTCTGACAATTTGACTAACCATTTATGCACTGTTTTTCGGAATAAAAATTATTTTTTGTTCATCTTCCTTAAATATGTTTGTACGGAGTCGTAATCCTGGATCAGACGAAGCATGCATATCAATAACTAAATAACCATACGGTCTGTTAGTCGCCTGACGATAAGCATCAAGAAAGTAGTCAAGTTTTCTAGGAAAAAGTTGTACACCTATATTTCGAACAGATAAGACAGAGTTAGGAGAACGCATAATTATAATATACTGTGCATTTTGACGGGCAATTTTTATTTTGCGTTCAAATAAATTTTGTGTGACAAAAATTACAGCAAAATTTCGATGGTGTGATTTCTTTGTAAATAATTCGGATAAGTATTTCTCATCAATAGAAAGAAGTAGGTCATCAAGAATAAGGAGAAGAGGTTTTTGAAATTTATTGATTAGATCATCTGGAGGTACACCCGAAAACACACTTACACCTGATTTTTGAAGTATGGGGACAATGTTACTCATCTCACCAAAACAATAAAGTATGCTTTTAGGTTTAGGCTCAATCAAGTTTTCTGTCTCAGAAATAAATTTTAACAAAAAAGTACTCTTTCCACTGGAACTGGGTCCTGAAATGATCATACCAAAAGGAAGTTTAAATTTTAATTCTTTATCTGAGAATGACAATGTTTCCATAATTTAATTTAATTTAAAATTTTTAAATGAGTATGTTTGAATATTTAATGTTCACTTAAATAATGATTCTATAGCTGTGTCTTCTTCTTCTTTCATGTTAATAGCCTGTTTCTTTAAATTATTTATTTTATCTGACTGAATCCCTGTTGTTGCTGCATCAAGACTATCAAAAAACTCATCTAATATATTTTTCTCTTTTTGTTCGGCATTTTCATTTGTAGTTTTTGAACGTTTTCGCGGTGGAGCAGAATTTTGAAGTGGGGTTTCTTGTGTTTCAGATTTAATTTGGTTTTTGCAGGGTTGTTGTGGTTTAGTTTGTGAAGGTTGAATTGAATTATGTGGAATATTGAATACACGGCCTTTGTTTTTGATCTTAAAATTAAACTTGTCTAATCAATTTATTAAAAGTTACCTTAAAGAAACAGATTCCCGGCAGGTCATATACGATATCAAATGGTACAAAACGTGTTCCTGAAATGCGAGTACAATAAATTGTAATTCCTTCCTTTGTCACAACAAAATCTAATTCCACTTCTGTGCTTTTACATTCACGACATTTACCGCCTTGGTCATAAGGAATAAATCGAGGTGGTAGTAAACGGGCACTTGAGATTGTTATTCCGTTTGGATTAATACTTATTTCTACTTCGGGTAAAATTTGGGAGGTAAGAAGTTTCTTATTATTCATATTAAGTGCCATCAATGATTTTTAATAATGTCAAGATCTGAGTTTTGCATCAGCTTTTATACTCACAAATAAGCCACGCCCATTAATTTTTCTTGAACAGGTTTATAATTGATGAGAAAGGGGGTTCTTTTAGAAACCTCCATTTCGAATATAATATATAGTCTGTTTCATTAGTTAGTGTAGGTTTTGTAGATGTTTGTAAAAATTTTTTTCTTTTCATTTTCAATTGTTCATCTCTTAATTTTTTATCCCTTTTTAATTGCTCCTCCAACTGATCCCAGTGTTTTCCAAATTTTCCAATATAATATACAGATTTAGTAGGATACTTTGGTATAAAAGGTAAATTTTCACATTTGTCATACAAAATATCATTTATGACGTAAACAGGTGGGGGTGGTGTTCGTCGAAATAATGATACTAAAGCTTCTTCTATTTTCCATATCTTATCTTCACTTGAGGTCTTGTAGACTATAAATAATAACGGAATAATTTTAATTAACATTTTTAAAATCAAATCAATCATTTTTATCTGTTTATATAGTACATTTTTTAAAGAATGCAAATAGGTAATTAATACCTAGTTGAGCAAAAATAGAAATAAGTTTTATTTTTCAACAAGTGAAATCAAGTGGAAAGCCCTTCTAAAACCAAAGGGTTGTCTCTCAGACTCAAAAGAAAAACATTGCGCCAATTTGATTATCAAATATACTTAATCAAAAACCCCTCCAAAACCCTTAGGAGATCAAGAGGGAAACCCCCTAAACCCTTAGGATCAAAAGGAAAACCCCCTATACCTTGGATTGTCCTCAGACTCAAAGGAAAAACTTTGCGAGAAATTGGTATTCTGTAATTAATTTAATTAGACCCCTCCAATACCCTTAGGAGATCAAAAGGGAAACCCCCTAAACCCTTAGGATCAAAAGGAAAACCCCCCTATACCTTTTGGTTGCGCCAAAAAAAGTCATTAATTGTCCCGCTAAAAAGTGGTATTACTAACTACTATCATATGAATTAATCAATTATAAATTTCAAAATTGCTTTAAAATAATAATTATTAAATTAATTTACAAAATTTTAAATTAAAAATATTTGTTGAATAATTCCAGGAAGTTTAGATAAAATTTGGAATATTATAACTATAGGGATAGGTTTTATATTGAAATAAAATTGAAAAATATCGCCATAAAATATTGAAATAAAATGGCAAAATATTGACAAAAAATGGCAAAAATTAGCTAAATATTGAAATAAATTATCGTTATTAACTAGCAAAAACTCAAAAAAAGTTGAAATTTAAAAAAGAAAATTTAATCACATTTTTAAAATTGCACATTAACTTTATAGTTCGACGTATTGGGTATTTTAACTCTCCCGGATATTTTAAAATGACGAAATGAGGATGAGACAACCAAATACTGATCCGCTTCTACTTTTATAAACATTTTAGAAACATTAAAAGGTTCATAGGCCTTTTACTCTCTAAATTCTGAATAATGTTTTTCTTGTCTAAAATAAAATTTAATTGTAGGTCCACTTACTTTCACTTATATCCTTCTTGATTAGTGTAATGCAGATGGATTAAGTCCAAAATTTTATAAAATCCTGTAAAATACAAAATATTTTACGGAATTGAAAATTTCGTTTGAGGCGCATGCTTCCACTGGATAACCCCCGCAAAAAATTAGCAATTGGAGATTTATAGATCGATTGGAACTTTATTAACTCAAATCAAAAAGAGATTTTAATTCAGCTAAACTAAATTTATACTAAAAATAATCCAAAATTTTAAATAAAAGTTGTTGAAAATAAAAGAAAGAAATTTATAATAAATTTCTTTCTGTAAAATAAATTACTAGAATATATAAAATAAATCCCCCCCCCCCGGAAATGTCCCACTGAATAAAAACCCCGAAAATGCCACACTAGATTAATAACTAGTATAAAATTTTATGACTTTTTTTATGCAACAAATTTTCGCTGGGAAATGTTTTTGTGTTGCCCCGAGAATTGGTTAATTTCAAGGCCGAAAATGGAAAAAGAATTGGATTAGGTTGTTTATGCAAAACACAGCAAACGTTGACTCCCATGAGACGTGTGCCTCAAAACCTAGCGCGGAGTTTTATCTTTGTTAGCTCTTCGATCCCTTTAGAATGAGCTATTATTTGTACGCATTTTCACTAAGCTGCTCACATTTTTAATTTATTGTTTGACGAATTGAATATTTTCACTCAGATGAGCCTTTTGAAATGGGACGTTTTTGGGGTTTTTATTTAGTGTAGATTTTCGGGAAGGGACATTTTAGGTAAATAAAGCCCTTGAAAAATAAAAATTGAGGAATATGGTTCTGGTAATTTTGAAGTATTTTTTGCAAAAATACATTTCCGCATTTCTGTTTGTATTTAGAAGATAATTTTTCCCTCAGATTAGCCACTTGGAACCCGAAAATTTGTTGAAAACCCTTAAAATCCCTATATGAATCAAAAACTTTAAAAATAAATAAAATATCAATTCAGTATCATGCTTTTCTTCAATATGAAGTTTGTCAATTTTTAATTTCATCAATAGTCAGTATTTCTATGATACTCAAGTTTAGTTTTTCCGACGGTGTTTATATCCAATGTAATTGTACCATGAGGAACAAAATCTTCGTTTTTGACGTTGAAATGACTCTAAAAATTAAAATTAAAAATATTTTCTAGTCTTCTTTCCAACCGCGTACAAAACATCGTCTTTTCCAAAAAATATATTTTCACTCCAAACAACAATAAATTGAATATTTTCTATATACCCCTCAGTTTTAAATTTTTGTATTTTGCAATCATTTAAAGCCCCAATTTCTTGTGTTCCAACAAAATTTCTTTTTCTGGTTAAATCTCCTACAGTGTTGTATTCGATATAAATACAGTAAGATAATTCTTTTATATGTGCTGCGCCAGGAGTAACACAAATGTTCATCAATCGTTCAGACGATTCTTAAATTACATGTAAATAATGAAGGCTCCTATACAAAATATATGTTCCTTAAATCTCTACATTTCTACACCCGGCTTCCCCCCCCCCCGGCTTCCTACGTAGGGCAAAAACTATACAAGCAAAATAAAAATCAGAACATAAATCTGAGACTGTTGCCACTCAAAAGTTTTTCCAAAGTGTTTTAATAGCCTTAAGGAATAGAGATTTTGAGGGGGCACGTGATTAAAATATGGAAAAGCATGACTAGACCAAAAAACCCCCAAAGTTTTGCGTCAGAATTGAAGAAAAAGAGTCTTGGACGTTTGAAGTAAATTAAAATTAAAAAGAGTAAAGGTGAAAACATCTTCTGGTAGGGTGGAAACACAATCGGTTGTGCTCTGGTTTGGACCCTTTCTACAATGAGCTATTCAATCTTCTATCCAATAATTCCTTCCTAGCCATTTACATAAATTCACATCTATTTTTATCTTCCTTACAGAATTGAATTTATTTTTAAAATTAATAAACAAAAATTTTTATCAAACCATTTGTTTTACATGTATGTGGCTGAGTTTCTTTAAAATTATTTGTTAAATCCTGCGATTTTTTAAACGTCATATAGGCAATTCTTCCCTTGCATCCTTTATAATTTTCCCTACATTCCCAATAGAAAGAATCATTTTTTGATCGAGTACTCGTGTATTTGAAACATTTGTAAATGCGAGTTTTGATAAAATAAATGTGATCACCTGTTATTTAGTATTTATTAGGGTGTGTCATAAGTAGAGCTCGAATTTTAGGTCGAATAAACTTAAAATAGGTACGGTAATGTCCAGCTCGCTGTACACATGTTCGCAATGTGTACAGCGAGCTTTACTTTATTTAAGGTACCCTATTCCCACTATTTATTTTAAAAATTTGTAAATTACAGACTTAAAAACTACCAGTAATTTCTTCAGAATTTAATGAAAATCCCTGATCTAATTCACTTTTATATAATTGAACTCCAGAAGCCAATTGAATGTTGTTAATTAATTGCTCAATATTTATTAATTCCTGAGGCTTGTATTCTATAACTTTATATTTTCCTCTCTCTAAATAAATAAATAATTGGATATGTACATGCCAGGGGTGGCTTTAGCCTCGTATCTCGTGTTTTTTAGAGGTCTCTATTTTGCCACGAGACACGAGATATTTCAATCTATTTTTTAAAAATGTCAAAAATTTGAGACAATTTAAGATCCTAGAATTAGGAAAAAAGGAAGAAATCCTCCACATTGGTCTTCCAAAGTTCTCAAAATTTTCGCCTGCGACGCTGAAAAAGGAAGAGAGATAAAGTAAGAGAGATTTCACGGTATCCGATATCATCAAAACAAAGTTGACAATCTCAATAATCCAATGATATCTGTTTCTTTAACTTTCCTTGATCCTTCCGAATCCCATGATATTATCCTTAACCCCCGATATCTCAATAAATACCCTAGATCATCTAAATCCCCAATGTCCTTCATAATCCACCTCTAATCATTATCCATTCAAACCCTTATATTTTCGACTTTACAATTTTAAGTATGATAATTGTGAAAAACAAATATTTAATATCTCGTATCTCATGTCTCGTGAAATCTCGTATTTTTTCGAGAGATCCAGATACCACTCAACCTTCGATAAGACTGACCTTGCTTTCTTTGATTAATCATTTCTTGTGTTACCAAAAGGTATTTTTGATTCTCGTTTTCTATTTCATTTGGATTGTTTTGTAAATTAGGCATTGAAGAAGATTCACCTTGACTTGAAATTGTTGGAAATTGTGTATAAGGATGGGGTGGGGGTTGATGATATATTGGTTGTTGATGAAACGAGGTTTGAGGGTGATAAACTTGGTTATGCATTTGTTCTGGGATTTGTTGAAATGGAAGTTGATTAGGATTATCATATTTGAGTTTAGTTTTTCTGACGGTGTTTATATCCAATGTAATTGTACCATTAGGAACAAAATCTTCGTTTTTGACGTTGAAATGACTCTAAAAATTAAAATTAAAAATATTTTTTAATTTTCTTTCCAACCGCATACAAAACATCGCCCTTCCCAAAAAATATATTTTCACTCCAAACAACAATAAATTGAATGTTTTCTATATTCCTCTCAGTTTTAAATTTCTGTAATTTGCAATCATTTAAAGCCCCAATTTCTTGTGTTCCAACAAAATCCGTTTTTTGTCTTAAATGTCCAGAAATGTATTCAACATAAATACAGTATGATAATTCTTTTATATGTGCTACACCAGGAGTAACACAAATGGTCATCTCGCGTTCAACTGAACCTAAATTATTTGTAAAATTTAGATATGTAATGAAGACAAAATATTAAAAGAAAATATTGTTGGCCCAAAATTTTATTACCTTTACCCCACTAAAGGTGGATATAAGAATTCAAATGGTCTAACTAAAACAGGAACTGTGACGGGGATTCAGTCCAGAATTCAAATCTATTGTTATCTTGTTCACAGAATTGAATTTATTTTGAAAATTATTAAACAAAAATATTTATCAAACCATTTGTTTTGCATGTATGTGGCTGAGTTTCTTTAAAATTATTTGTTAAATTATGCGGATTTTCAAAAATCAGTTTCCCTTTGCATTTTTTAGTTCCTTTCGAACATGTCCAATAAAATGAATTGTTTTTTGATCGAATACTCGTGTATTTGTAACATTTGTAAATACGAGTTTTGATAAAATAAATGTGATCACCTGTATTTACATATTTAAATAAATATTTAAAAATAATTTATAAATAAATTTCAACTTCGACTGCCTAATTTTGAAAATTGGTTCGTATTGGTTGTATTTTGTTTGTATTTTAAATTTGTAAATTACAGACTTAAAAACTACCTGTAATCATTTCAGAATTTAATGAAAATCCCGGATCAATTTTACTTTTATTTAATTGAACTCCAAGAGCTAATTGAATGTTTAATTTCTCCATATTTCTTAATTCCGGATGCTTGTATTCTATAGCTTTATATTTTCCTTTCTCTAAAGAGGTGATTTTTATTAAATGTAGATCGAAGATGTTAATATGGAATGGAAATTTAAATACCTATTATTAAAAAAAAGAAATTAATGCAGGGCTCGGATTCGTACTTTTTTGAAAATATGTACTGTTTTATCAACATTTTTGAAAAAACGAAGAAATCTGGCTTAAAGACCTCCAAAATTCTCAAAATTTGGCTTTGAGAATTTTGGCTTTGAGAATAAAAAAAATTTGGCTTTGAGAATTAATACTGTCATTTACTCATTGTGTCAGCGAATTTTGACATGCCATGCATTGAAATGCACAAAATATTCAGTGGAAACAAGAAATTATTAGAAAAGATTCATTTAGGAGGGAAATATGAAAGATTTGAGCACGAATAAATATTTTATAATTTAATTTGGAGTGTACTTTTTATTTGCAAATTTTCTCCCTATATACTTTTTAATAAAGATTTTTGTACTTATTATTGCCATTTTGTCGATCCGAGCCCTGAATTAATGCTCGAACCCAATTTTAAACTGACCTTCCTCTCTTTGATCAATCATTTCTTGTGTTACCAAAAGGTATTTTTGATTCTCGTTTTCTATTTCAGTTGGATTGTTTTGTAAATTAGGCATTGAAGAAGATTCACCTTGACTTGGAATTGTTGGAAATTGTGTATAAGGATGGGGTGGGGGTTGATGATATATTGGTTGTTGATGAAGCGAGGTTTGAGGGTCTTCGTTATGCATTTGTTGAGGAGGGTGTTGATGAGGGATTTGTTGAGAAGATTCACCTTGACTTGGAATTGTTGGAAATTGCGTATATTGTTGATGAAACGAGGTTTGAGGGTGATAGTCTTCGTTGTACATTTGTTGTGGGATTTGTTGAAGAGGGTGTTGATGGGGGATTTGTTGGTTATGTTCCCACAGATTAAAATTATCTAAACATTTTAGCTAAATTTTATTTTATTATTCATTAATTGCTTAAAAATATTTAGAATTTTTAAAAATTTAATTACCAAATCCATAGTTATGATAATTGCTTTCCTATAATTAATTTTTTAAATATTTTTATAAAACTAACTTTAGAATTCGCGGGTTAACCGAAAATAAGAATTAAGTCAGTTAATACTAACTTGTTGTGACCTATAATTTTGAATAACAAACCGGAGGATTAAACCATTCTGGACTATTATTTGGGCTATAAATTGGTTGATCGTGAAAATCTCTAATATGACGATTAAAATCATCATCATCATTTCCACTTCCAAAACATTTAGAAAATAACAAAAGAAAAGTTAGAGCATTTAAATAAATCATTTTAAAAATGAATATTTCTAGCTAAATTTATAAAATTTTTTGAGATACTGTAGTGAAAATTTACTTATAATTCTTATAACTACAAAAAAAAATAATTTAATTTTAATAAAAAATGATTCCAGAAAAACGCTTTTTCATTCAAACTACATTTTCCATTATTTGAATGTCGGCTTGAATTGTATCGGTTATAAACAACTGAGATATGTAGATTTAAGTTTAGTCAAAAATTTAAATAATTATTTATTTTTATTAATTATTATAATTACTGTAATATTTACTCTAAAATAAGGTAAATAATAAATATAAAGTGTTGAGGGGATACACTCTCATTTTTGACTTTGGGGGGGGGGGGGGATACACTCTCATTTTTGACTTTAGGGGGGGGATACACTCTCATTTTTGGCAAATAGACATATAGTACAAGGGCTTTACAGCCCTTTAAAATTTAATAAACATCCTATGATTGGTTTATTAATTATTAATTTTTAACGAGATGTATGTAAATCATATGAATTAATCAATTATAAATTTCAAAATTGCTTTAAAATAATAATTATTAAATTAATTTACAAAATTTTAAATTAAAAATAATTGAGATTGTTGAATAATTCCAGGTTTAGATAAAATTTGGAATATTATAACTAGGGATAGGTTTTATATTAAAATAAAATTGAAAAATATCGCCACAAAATATTGAAATAAAATGGCAAAATATTGACAAAAAATGCCAAAAATTAGCTAAATATTGAAATAAATTATCGTTTATTCACTATGTGATACAATTCAATTAAATTAATTTAAATTTGTTTATTTTTAATTTGTTTTGGCGTTCCGTTTTTAATTTATGTCCCTCCCCCTT